AGCGCGGCACGACTCAAATATAGATATATGTATAAAAATAATTACAAGTTTTAATTCAAACATGGCCGCCAGGCATCTTGACTGACGCGTTTGATTCGATCTCGGCGCGTAAACAAAAGACCATTAGGCAGCGCAAAAATGCAGTGTGTTATAGTGTATTAAATTGTGTTTTTAAGTGTTTTTATATACTTTGGTGAGGTCTGTGTATTAGATTACATGCTCTGTTGATACGCTAGGATAGTCCCTTGCATATTTTTTTGCAAAGAAACATATTAAGCCTTGCCTAGTCAATTCTAAAGCCCTCATAACACCCTCTTCAAAAATCTACTTTATCATGTAGGTACATACCTACCTGTGCAATGCAATATGAAGTCCTAATTTATCCCAATATAATGCCTACTGAGACTTAACACTTACCTCTGCTTTTTGGTATCTGCTGCAGTTTAAATGGAGATCAACTTAGTCAAAGCTAACTGGCCAATGTCAATTAGAATCGGGGGCAGCTTGAACATATGCAGCATAAATGTAGGGCTGCTCTGTCTGCGTCACTCCCAGGTGATGTCAGCTGCCCACTGCCCTGCCTTGCCCTGTCCTGGCTCCTGTCAGCTCCTGTCAGCCCTCCCACTCCTGTCAGCTCCTGTCAGCTCCTTGTCGACCTCTGTCAACCTCTGTCAACCCTGTCCTGCCCTGCCCTGTCCTGGCTCCTGTCAGCTCTCCTGTCAGCTCCTGTCAGCTCCTGTCAGCTCCTGTTTAACTCCCCTTCCCTATTCAGGAGCTGGTGCTGCTGATATCTGCCTCTGTCCACCTCTGTCTGCCACTGTCGACCTCTGTCCGCCTCTGTAGACCTCTATCGACCTCTGTCGACCTCTGTCGACCCCTATGGACACATGTCGACCCCTGTCGACCTCTGTCGACCCTGCCCTGCCCTGCCCTGGCTCCTGTCAGCTCCTTGTCAACCTCTGTCGACCTCTGTCGATCTCTGTCAACCTCTGTCGACCTCTTTTATCGACCTCTGTCGACCCTGCCCTGCCCTGCCTTGGCTCCTGCCCTGCCCTGCCCTGGCTCCTGTCAGCTCCTGTCAGCTCCTTGTCAACCTCTGTCGACCTCTGTCGACAGGGGCGATGCTAGGTACCATCAACAGTGGGGAATGGAATGACTGACCGAGGTGGCTCGAGGTACCATAAACAGTGGGGCAGGGGCGACTCTGTCCGACCTGACCGAAGTCTGTCCGACCTGGCAGAGGTATGTGGGACCTAACAAAGGTATGTGTGACCTGACAGAGGTATGTGGGACCTGACAGAGGTATGTAAGACCTGTCAGAGGTCTGTAGGGGCTGACAGAGATATGTGGAACCTGACAGACGTCTGACAACCCTAGCCGAGGTCTGTCAAAGACCTGACTGAAGTCTCTCAGACCTGACCGAGGTCTCTCCGACCTGACCGAGGACTGTCAGACCTGACCGAGGTCTGTCAGACCTGACAGAGGTATGTGAGACCTGAGAGAGGTCTGTCAGACCTGACAGAGGTATGTGGGACCTGACAGAAGTATGTGGGACCTGACAGAGGCATGTAAGACCTGTCAGAGGTCTGTAGGAGCTGACAGAGATAAATGGAACCTGACAGACGTCTGACAACCCTGGCCGATGTCTGTCAAAGACCTGACTGAAGTCTCTCAGACCTGACAGAGGTCTCTCCGACCTGACCGAGGACTGTCAGACCAGACCGAGGCCTGTCAGACGTGACAGAGGTATGTGAGACCTGACAGAGGTCTGTAGGAGCTGACAGAGATATGTGGAACCTGACAGACGTCTGATAGCCCTCCTATGTGGATCCTCCCTGTCTGTAGGAGCTGACAGAGATATATGGAACCTGACAGACGCCTGACAAACCTGGCCGAGGTCTGTCAGAGACCTGACTGAAGTCATATGACATCTCATAGGTCTAACAGACCTCTGTCATGTCCCTCATACCTCTGTCAGGTCTCGCAAACGTCTGGCAGGTCGGACAGACCTTGGTCAAGTCTGACAGGCCTCATTCAGGTCTGAGAGACCTCAGTCAGTTGTCTGACAGACCTCGGCCAGGGTTGTCAGACGTCTGTGAGACTGGGAGAGACCTCGGTCGGATCTGAAAGACCTCAGTCAGGTCTCTGACAGACCTCGGCCAGGGTTGTCAGACGTCTGTCAGGTTCCACATATCTCTGTCAGCTCCTACAGACCTCTGTCAGGTCTCACATACTTCTGTCAGGTCTGGCAGACCTCGGTCAGGTCGGCGAGACCTCGGTCAGGTCTGAGAGACCTCGGTCAGATCTGAAAGACCTCAGTCACGTCTCTGACAGACCTCGGCCAGGGTTGTCAGACGTCTGTCAGGTTCCATATATCTCTGTCAGCTCCTACATACAGACCTCTGTCAGGTCTCACATACCTCGGTCAGGTCTGACAGACCTCTCTCAAGTCTCACATACCCCTGTCACGTCTGACAGACCTCGGTCTGGTCTGACAGTCCTCGGTCAGGTCGGAGAGACCTCGGTCAGGTCTGAGAGACTTCAGTCAGGTCTTTGATAGACCTCGGCCAGGGTTGTCAGACGTCTGTCAGGTTCCACATATCTCTGTCAGCTCCTACAGACCTCTGTCAGGTGTCACATACCTCTGTCAGGTCTGGCAGACCTCTGTCAGGTCTGACAGACCTCTGTCAGGTCTGACAGACCTCTGTCAGGTCGGAGAGATCTCGGTCAGGTCTGAGAGACCTCGGTCAGATCTGAAAGAACTCAGTCATGTCTTTGACAGACCTCGGCCAGGGTTGTCAGACGTCTGCCAGGTTCCACATACCTCTGTCAGCTCTTACAGACCTCTGTCAGGTCTTACATACCTCTGTCAGGTCCCACATACCTCTGTCAGGTCTGGCAGACCTCGGTCAGGTCGGAGAGACCTCGGTCAGGTCTGAAAGACTTTAGTCAGGTCTTTGACAGACCTCGGCCAGGGTTGTCAGACGTCTGTCAGGTTCCACATATCTCTCTCAGCTCCTACTGACCTCGGTCAGGTCTCACATACCTCTGTCAGGTCTGACATACCTCGGTCAGGTCGGAGAGACCTCGGTCAGATCTGAAAGACCTCAGTCAGGTCTCTGACAGACTTCGGTCAGGCTCGACAGATCTTTGTCAGGTCCGACAAACTCAACAAGGCATCCTCGGACCGATCAGCAGGGAGCGCAGGGCTGCACCGGCCGAACTGCTGCCGCATGACGGGCCCGTGAGTCATGACTGCCGGGATGACGGTGCGCCCCGCGTCACCAGTCACCCCACCCCTACTGTCCCCTGTCTGTCTGTATCTGACACCCACGCACCCCCTACATTCCTCTGTCTGCCTGTACCTGACACCCCCTCCCCATCTGCCCCACAGCGGCGCACCGCCAGTTCGAGGCCAAGCGCAAGTCGCACTACAACGAGTTCTACGCGGTGAAGCTGGCCCGACAGCTGATGGAGAAGGACGAGGCGGAGGAGGGCGCCGGCCCTTCCTCGGCTGCCGGGCCGTCCTCATCGTCTGCCGAGCCGGCCCCGGCCCCTGACTCGGCTCCGTCGACCAGCTCGTAGACGGACGGCCCGCCGAGACCGGCCCGGTGCCGGAGCCCGTCTGTGTATTGGTTTGGCAGGCGCACTGTGTGTCCGGCCCGGTGCAGCCATTTGTGATACGGTTTAGCCAGAACGCTGCTGCTCCTGCTAACGGTGTGACGCGGTGGACGTCACGTCAACACCACCGTCACGTCACTGCAACCGTCAGTCACGTCACGTCTTGTCCCCGGATCGACAGCCGCCGTGACGGGACCGGGAGGGCAGCCCAGCTGTGTGCCGCAGAGGCTGACGGAGGACTCCTCTAGGACAAAGGAACAAAGGTGGTGGCTCATCCCACCATGGTGGTGCCCCGGCCGCTGGCGCGCGCGGAAGCCACTCGTGGTCGCCAAGAAGCGTCATGCCGGTCCGACCAGCTCTCGGTGGACACATCCGTTAGCGCCGTCAGGCGGGCAGTGCGGCCGGCGGTCGCGCTGGGGGAGGCGGCGTGCCCTATCGACCCGGCGACGCAGTGATGGAGGCCGCCGGCGGACTCAGACGGCCGGGACACGTATGTGATACCTCGCTGACCGAGAGCCGGCCGGCCGGCCACCCGCTCCGGCGCGGAGCCGAGGCTTTATTTACCGCTGGGGACGGACAGCGCGTGCCGCTGGGGGCCCGTGCTGATCCCGCCGACGGCGTTGTCCTATGATGCTGCAGTGCAGCGCGTCTGTAGAGTGTAGGGACGTAAGAGGCATCAAATTACGGCGCGGAAGTGCGCCAGCTCGGAAAGTCGCCGGCCGTAACCGGCCTTCTGATACAAACTCGGTACCTACTTCCAGGCCACCCGGCTCGAGGGACCGGCCCAGTGCCGTCGCCAGGCTCATCAGTGGAATAGCGCGCTAGGATGGATGTTATGAATGTACAGTCAACGTCTCCGCGCGGGCCTGCGTTAGACCATCGATAATGTCCTGTTCGCTCCTCGTGCATGTCTGTGTTTGTTTGAACGCGTGTGCAGTGCAGATTGTGTGGGTGGGTGTATCACAGATAGCGTCTGATTGTCGCCGGTGTAGCAAGGATTGTTGCAATAAACGTCGAATGCTGGTGTCACACGCCGCGCGCTCTTTTGTCACCTTCCATCGACCCTGCGGCGCCACCACCCACTCCGCCGTTGAAGGACATCAGCTCCTGAATAGGGAGGGGGAGTTACAGACATCAGCAGCACCAGCTTCTCACTATTTCGTTCTAATACTCGTTCTAATACTCCCAACACCCGTTGTTGTCCAGGAGTTGAGTTGGAATGGGGGGGGGGGGGGTGTTCACTGTTCAGCAGCCCTCCCCCTAGCAGGCGTGGGAATCATGTCAATGTGGAGCCCCAGTGTAGAGTGGGATAGCCTTTTCCGCTGGATTGTGATCAGGCTTTGCGTCGAATAACACTGATCCATTGAAAGATGTTCCGATTTACTTGCCCAGGCACATTTTTATTCAGAAAGAAAACATACATATGGTTTGCTGATGGATAATAGATTATGGCAGCAGGTAACACCCAGGCGGTGTGCCTTCTGCTGTAGGGCCAGCAGTGTGGTGCGTCCCGAATGGGGTCGCCAAAGACGCAGCTCGCCGCCAAGACAGCCGGAGACCAGCACACCGGCCGAACCGCCGAACGACAGGCACGAAGCCGACTCCTCGTAGCCATGCAGCGTGCTGCCGGCGAGAGGTCACGGGAAGGTCAGCTTATAATGTACACAGAGACAAGACAGAGCACACAGAGCAGAGCAGTGTACAGCAGAGCTGACAGAGCAGAGCGAGCAGAGCAGAGCAAGGCGGGGCAGAGCAGAGCGAGCAGAGCAGAGCTGACTTAGAGAGCTGACAGGAGGGCAGGGCAGGGCAGAGGCGACTTCAGGTACCGTGAACAGTGCGAAATGAAATGCAACAGTGGGGCAGGGGTAGTCAACAGTTAACATGGGGCAGTCAACTGTTAACTGGGGCAGTTAACATGGGGCAGTCAGACTGAGGTCGGAGAGACCTCGGTCAGGTCTGAAAGACCTCAGTCAGGTCTTTGGCAGACCTCGGCCAGGGTTGTCAGACGTCTGTCAGGTTCCACATATCTCTGTCAGCTCCTACAGACCTCAGACAGATCTTACATACCTCTGTCAGGTCTGACAGACCTCAGTCAGGTCTGAGAGACCTCAGTCAGGTCTCTGACAGACCTCGGCCAGGTTTGTCAGGCGTCTGTCAGGTTCCACATATCTGTCAGCTCCTACAGACCTCTGTCAGGCCTCACATGCCTCTGTCACGTCTGACAGACCTCGGTCTGGTCTGACAGTCCTCGGTCAGGTCGGAGAGACCTCGGTCAGGTCTGACAGACCTCAATCAGGTCTCTGGCAGATCTCGGCCAGGGTTGTCAGACGTCTGTCAGTTTCCATATATCTCTATCAGCTCCTACAGACCTCTGTCAGGTCTGAGAGACCTCGGTCAGGTCGGAGAGACCTCGGTCAGGTCTGAGAGACCTCGGTCAGGTCTGAGAGACCTCGGTCAGATCTGAAAGATCTCAGTCAGGTCTCTGACAGACTACAGCCAGGGTTGTCAGATGTCTGTCAGGTTCCATATATCTCTGTCAGCTCCTACAGACCTCAGATACGTCTTACATACCTCTGTCAGGTCTCACAGACCTCAGTCAGGTCTGAGAGACCTCAGTCAGGTCTCTGACAGACCTCGGCCAGGTTTGTCAGGCGTCTGTCAGGTTCCATATATCTCTGTCAGCTCCTACAGACAGGGAGAGTCCACATAGGAGGGTTGTCAGACGTCTGTCAGGTTCTACATATCTCTGTCAGCTCCTACAGACCTCTGTCAGGTCTCACATACCTCTGTCACGTCTGACAGACCTCGGTCTGGTCTGACAGTCCTCGGTCAGGTCGGAGAGACCTCGGTCAGGTCTGAGAGACTTCAGTCAGGTCTTTGACAGACATCGGCCAGGGTTGTCAGACGTCTGTCAGGTTCCATTTATCTCTGTCAGCTCCCACAGACCTCTGACAGGTCTTACATACCTCTGTCAGGTCCCACATACTTCTGTCAGGTCCCACATACCTCTGTCAGGTCTGACAGACCTCAGTCAGGTCTGACAGACCTCAGTCAGGTCTGAGAGACCTCAGTCAGGTCTCTGACAGACCTCGGCCAGGTTTGTCAGGCGTCTGTCAGGTTCCACATATCTCTGTCAGCTACTACAGACCTCTGTCAGGTCTCACATGCCTCTGTCACGTCTGACAGACCTCGGTCTAGTCTGACAGTCCTCGGTCAGGTCGGAGAGACCTCGGTCAGGTCTGACAGACCTCAATCAGGTCTCTGGCAGATCTCGGCCAGGGTTGTCAGACGTCTGTCAGTTTCCATATATCTCTGTCAGCTCCTACAGACCTCTGTCAGGTCTGACAGACCTCGGTCAGGTCGGAGAGACCTCGGTCAGGTCTGAGAGACCTCGGTCAGGACTGAGAGACCTCGGTCAGGTCTGAGAGACCTCGGTCAGATCTGAAAGATCTCAGTCAGGTCTCTGACAGACTACAGCCAGGGTTGTCAGATGTCTGTCAGGTTCCATATATCTCTGTCAGCTCCTACAGACCTCAGATACGTCTTACATACCTCTGTCAGGTCTCACAGACCTCAGTCAGGTCTGAGAGACCTCAGTCAGGTCTCTGACAGACCTCGGCCAGGTTTGTCAGGCGTCTGTCAGGTTCCATATATCTCTGTCAGCTCCTACAGACAGGGAGAGTCCACATAGGAGGGTTGTCAGACGTCTGTCAGGTTCTACATATCTCTGTCAGCTCCTACAGACGTCTGTCAGGTCTCACATACCTCTGTCAGGTCTCACATACCTCTGTCACGTCTGACAGACCTCGGTCTGGTCTGACAGTCCTCGGTCAGGTCGGAGAGACCTCGGTCAGGTCTGAGAGACTTCAGTCAGGTCTTTGACAGGCATCGGCCAGGGTTGTCAGACGTCTGTCAGGTTCCATTTATCTCTGTCAGCTCCTACAGACCTCTGACAGGTCTTACATACCTCTGTCAGGTCCCACATACTTCTGTCAGGTCCCACATACCTCTGTCAGGTCTGACAAACCTGAGTCAGGTCTGACAGACCTCAGTCAGGTCTGAGAGACCTCAGTCAGGTCTCTGACAGACCTCGGCCAGGTTTGTCAGGCGTCTGTCAGGTTCCACATATCTCTGTCAGCTACTACAGACCTCTGTCAGGTCTCACATGCCTCTGTCACGTCTGACAGACCTCGGTCTGGTCTGACAGTCCTCGGTCAGGTCGGAGAGACCTCGGTCACGTCTGACAGACCTCAATCAGGTCTCTGACAGATCTCGGCCAGGGTTGTCAGACGTCTGTCAGGTTCCATATATCTCTGTCAGCTCCTACAGACCTCTGTCAGGTCTCACATACCTCTGTCAGGTCTGACAGACCTCGGTCAGGTCTCTGACAGACCTCGGTCAGGTCTGAGAGACTTTAGTCAGGTCTTTGACAGATATCGGTCAGGGTTGTCAGATGTCTGCCAGGTTCCACATATCTCTGTCAGCTCTTACAGACCTCTGTCGGGTCTCACATACCTCGGTCAGGTCTGAGAGACCTCGGTCAGATCTGAAAGACCTCAATCAGGTCTCTGACAGATCTCGGCCAGGGTTGTCAGACGTCTGTCTGTCAGGTTCCACATATCTCTGTCAGCTCCTACAGACCTCTGTCAGGTCTCACATATCTCTGTCAGGTCTGACATACCTCTGTCAGGTCTGCCAGACCTCGGTCAGGTCGGAGAGACCTCGGTCATATCTGAGAGACCTCGGTTAGATCTGAAAGACCTCAATCAGGTCTTTGACAGACCTCGGCGAGGGTTGTCAGACGTCTGTCAGGTTCCATATATCTCTGTCAGCTCCTACAGACAGGGAGGGTCCACATAGGAGGGTTGTCAGAAGTCTGTCAGGTTCCACATATCTCTGTCAGCTCCTAAAGACCTCTGTCAGGTCTCACATACCTCTGTCAGGTCTAACAGACCTCAGTCAGGTCTAAGAGACCTCAATCAGGTCTCTGACAGACCTCGGTCAGGGTTGTCAGAGGTCTGTGAGGTTCCGCATATCTCTGTCAGCTCCTACAGACCTCTGACAGGTCTTACATACCTCAGTCAGGACCCACATACCTCTGTCAGGTGTGACAGACCTATGTTAGGTCGCACGTACCTCTGTCAGGTCCCACATACCTCTGTCATGTCCCACATACCTTTGTCAGGTCCCACAGACGTCTGTCAGGTCTGACAGACCTCAATCAGGTCTCTGACAGATCTCGGCAAGGGTTGTCAGACGTCTGTCAGTTTCCATATATCTCTGTCAGCTAACAGAGACCTCTGTCAGGTCTCACATACCTCTGTCAGGTCTGAGACACCTCGGTCAGGTCAGAGAGACCTCGGTCAGGTCTATGAGACCTCTGTCAGGTCTGAGAGACCTCGGTCAGGTCTGAAAGATCCCAGTCAGGTCTCTGACAGACTACGGCCAGGGTTGTCAGATGTCTGTCAGGTTCCATATATCTCTGTCAGCTCCAACATACCTCAGACAGATCTTACATAACTCTGTCAGGTCTGACACACCTCAGTCAGGTCTGACAGACCTTAGTCAGGTCTGAGAGACCTCAGTCAGGTCTGAGAGACCTCAGTCAGGTCTCTGAAAGACCTCGGCCAGGTTTGTCAGGCGTCTGTCAGGTTCCACATATCTCTGTCAGCTCCTACAGACCTCTGTCAGGTCTCACATGCCTCTGTCACGTCTGACAGACCTCGGTCTGGTCTGACAGTCCTCGGTCAGGTCGGAGAGACCTCGGTCAGGTCTGACAGACCTCAATCAGGTCTCTGACAGATCTCGGCCAGGGTTGTCAGACGTCTGTCAGGTTCCATATATCTCTGTCAGCTCCTACAGACCTCTGTCAGGTCTCACATACCTCTGTCAGGTCTGACAGACCTCGGTCAGGTCGGAGAGACCTCAGTCAGGTCGGAGAGACCTCAGTCAGGTCTGAGAGACTTCGGTCAGGTCAGAGAGACCTCGGTCACGTCTAAGAGACCTCTGTCAGGTCTGAGAGACCTCGGTCAGGTCTGAAAGATCCCAGTCAGGTCTCTGACAGACTACGGCCAGGGTTGTCAGATGTCTGTCAGGTTCCATATATCTCTGTCAGCTCATACATACCTCAGACAGATCTTACATACCTCTGTCAGGTCTGACACACCTCAGTCAGGTCTGCGAGACCTCAGTCAGGTCTCTGAAAGACCTCGGCCAGGTTTGTCAGGCGTCTGTCAGGTTCCACATATCTCTGTCAGCTCCTACAGATCTCTGTCAGGTCTCACATGCCTCTGTCACGTCTGACAGACCTCGGTCTGGTCTGACAGTCCTCGGTCAGGTCGGAGAGACCTCGGTCACGTCTGACAGACCTCAATCAGGTCTCTGACAGATCTCGGCCAGGGTTGTCAGACGTCTGTCAGGTTCCATATATCTCTGTCAGCTCCTACAGACCTCTGTCAGGTCTCACATACCTCTGTCAGGTCTGACAGACCTCGGCCAGGTCGGAGAGACCTCGGTCAGATCTGAAAGATCTCAGTCAGGTCTCTGACAGACTACAGCCAGGGTTGTCAGATGTCTGTCAGGTTCCATATATCTCTGTCAGCTCCTACAGAGCTCAGATACGTCTTACATACCTCTGTCAGGTCTAACAGACCTCAGTCAGGTCTGATAGACCTCAGTCAGGTCTGAGAGGCCTCAGTCAGGCCTCTGACAGACCTCGGCCAGGTTTGTCAGGCGTCTGTCAGGTTCCATATATCTCTGTCAGCTCCTACAGACAGGGAGGGTCCACATAGGAGGGTTGTCAGACGTCTGTCAGGTTCCACATATCTCTGTCAGCTCCTACAGACCTCTGTCAGGTCTCACATACCTCTGTCACGTCTGACAGACATCGGTCTGGTCTGACAGACCTCGGTCAGGTCTGAGAGACTTCAGTCAGGTCTTTGACAGACCTCGGCCAGGGTTGTCAGACGTCTGTCAGGTTCCATTTATCTCTGTCGGCTCCTACAGACCTCTGACAGGTCTTACATACCTCTGTCAGGTCCCACATGCTTCTGTCAGGTCCCACATACCTCTGTCAGGTCTGACAGACCTTTCTTAGGTCTCACATACCTCTGTCAGGTCTGACAGACCTCGGTCAGGTCTGACAGTCCTCGGTCAGGTCGGAGACACCTCGGTTAGGTCTGAGAGACTTCAGTCAGGTCTTTGACAGACCTCGGCCAGGGTTGTCAGACGTCTGTCAGGTTCCACATATCTCTGTCAGCTCCTACAGGCCTCTCTCAGGTCTCACATACCTCTGTCAGGTCTGACAGACCTCGGTCAGGTCGGAGAGACCTCAATCAGGTCTGAGACCTCAGACAGGTCTGAAATACCTCAATCAGGTCTCTGACAGACCTCGGCCAGGGTTGTCAGACTTCTGTCAGGTTCCACATATCTCTGTCAGCTCCTACAGACCTCTCATAGGTCTTACATACCTCTGTCAGGTCCCACATAGCTCTGTCGGGTCCCACATACCTCTGTCAGGTCCCACATACCTCTGTCAGGCCCCGCAAACGTCTGGCAGGTGGGACAGACCTTGGTCAGGTCTGGCAGACCTCAGTCAGGTCTGAAAGACCTCAGTCAGGTGCCTGACAGACCTCGGCCAGGGTTGTCAGACGTCTGTCCGGTTCCACATATCTATGTAAGCTCCTACAGACCTCTGACAGGTCTTACATACCTCTGTCAGGTCCCACATATCTCTGTCAGGTCACACATACCTTTTTTAGGTCCCACATACCTCTGCCAGGTCGGACAGACTTCGGTCAGGTCGGACAGAAGAGTCGCCCCTGCCCCACTGTTTACGGTACCTCAAGTCACCTCGGTCAGTCATTCCATTCCCTACTGTTGATGGTACCTGGCATCGCCCCTGTCGACAGAGGTCGACAGAGGTTGACAAGGAGCTGACTGGAGCTGACAGGTGCCAGGGCAGGGCAGGGCAGGGCAGGGCAAGAGCCAGGGCAGGGCAGGAGCCAAGGCAGGGCAGGGCAGGGCAGGGTCGACGGAGGTCGACAAAGGTCGACAAAAGAGGTCGACAGAAGAGGTCGTAAGAAGAGGTCGACAGAGGTTGACAGAGGTCGACAGAGGTCGACGGAGGTTGACAAGGAGCTGACAGGAGCTGACAGGAGCCAGGGCAGGGCAAGGCAGGGCAGGGTTGACAGAGGTCGACAAGGAGCTGACAGGAGCTGACAGGAGCTGGCAGGAGCCAGGGCAGGGCAGGGTCGACAAAGGTCAACAGAGGTCGACAAAAGAGGTCGACAGAAGAGGTCGTAAGAAGAGGTCGACAGAAGTTGACAGAGGTCGACAGAGGTCAACAAGGAGCTGACAGGAGCCAGGGCAGGGCAGGGCAAGGCATTGCAGGGTCGACAGAGGTCGACAGAGGTCAACAAGGAGCTGACAGGAGCTGACATGAGCCAGGGCAGGGCAGGGCAGGGTAGGGCAGGGCAGGGTCAACAAAGGTCGACAGAAGAGGTCGACAGAGGTCAAAAAGGGTCGACAAGGGATGACAGAGGTGGATATGGTCAACAGGGGTCAACAGGGAAGAATGTTGAGCACACTCAGACAGATCAGATCAGCTGTTGCTGCTCATTTTAAGCAGCGGGCATATGGAACAAGATTGCTCAAATGCTTCAGCAGCCTTAGGCTCTGCATACCAGCAGAGTGGGCGGCTGACATCACCTGGGAGTGACGCAGACAGAGCAGCTCTACATCTATGCTGCATATGTCCGAGCTGCCCCCGATTCTAATTGACATTGGCTTTGACTAAGTTCATCTCCATTTAAACTGCAGCAGATACCAAAAAGCAGAAGTAAGTGTTAAGTCTCAGTAGGCATTATATTGGGATAAATTAGGACTTCATATTGCATTGCACAGGTAGGTATGTACCTACATGATAAAGTAGATTTTTTGAAGAGGGTGTTATGAGGGCTTTAGAATTGACTAGGCAAGGCTTAATATGTTTCTTTGCAAAAAAATATGCAAAGGACTATCCTAGCGTATCAACAGAGCATGTAATCTAATACACAGACCTCACCAAAGTATATAAAAACACCTAAAAACACAATTTAATACACTATAACACACTACATTTTTGCTGCCTAATGGTCTTTTGTTTACGCGCCGAGATCGAATCAAACGCGTCAGTCAAGATGCCTGGCGGCCATGTTTGAATTAAAACTTGTAATTATTTTTATACATATATCTATATTTGAGTCGTGCCGCGCTTAGATATAATTTTTGTTGAATATCAAAAGCAAAATTGTAAAACCAAAATTATTCTCACGAAATTTGAGATAGTCCCTAAACTGAAAAATGCTAACGACCATGAGGTGGTGAGAGGCAGTGAGAGGCAGTAGAGGTGGTGAGAGGCAGTCAGTGAGCAGAGGCAGGCAGTCAGAGGCAGGGCAGGAGGAAGTGAGAGGCAGTGAGAGCCAGTGGGAGGCAGTGAGAGGCAGTGAGAGGCGGTGAGAGGCAGTGAGAGGCAGTCAGTGAGCAGAAGAAGGCGGGGGTTACATAACACCTGGAGTTACAGCATCCACATGAAAAACTCATACAAAAATTATGTGTGAATCAAGATTATTTGACAAAAGTTGCTCATCTTTATCATCATCAACTACCTACTTTGCGGGATGGTAGTTTGTTACATGTCACATCACCCTAGGCCCTCTTAAAGCTAGTTAGGTCAGGTGCGGTCCCAACATTTTCTGCGAAGCCGTTCCAGATGAGAATACATTGGATGGAGAAAGATTGCAGACAAACATCTGGTGTAGCATGTGACACGCATACCTTGTGACAATGGCCTTCAGTACAGTTCCAAAATTGGGTTGTCTGCACATAGGAGCCTTCCTGCAACAGAATACAGAGGGGTGTTAGCGGGCACCGTAAACTGCTGAGTTCACTGTGTGTGGTGTGTACAGCAAGCTTAGGGGTAGGGGAAGGGTAACCAGTTCTGATGTCACAGCTGCATGCCATGCGGTGGACGGCCTGTGGCCAGTCCCGACCGACCACAGAGGTTGCTGTGTGCGGTGACAGATGGATGGATGGCTTAGGGACGAAGTGGGCAGAGCTTAGAGCTTGTGTACGGTCCGACCACACACAGGGCCCGTGAACAGCCCTCAGATAGGTCATAGGTATGCATAGGTTCCAGAGGTACCTATATATAATTAGCTAGCATAAAAACTCATTCTAAGGATTGTGGCTGATAACCCTGATTCTGAAGCCACGCCCACACCATGGATCACACACATCATATCACCTTCACCTTAACTTACACACCACGGTATGTTATATCAATATGTTATATGTATATACCTACACTCAAGGCCCTATATAACCTTACACAAGATTCTTACCCCCTACCTACACCATCAAATCCATGCCTACACTACAAAATAAAATGAAAATATGGCGCCGCCGGCGCCGCCTATTTACGCGTCAATTTTGTCATTGATGCGCCTTAATACCTACCTGTCAGCCATATTGGAATACAAATGCTCGTTTTCTAAATACTCATTCTGGCTTTTCTAAAGGCCGCCGTCCACTGTGCGGAACGCGTGCGGTCCGTACGGAATTTAACACAGAACCCTATGGGCGCATCCGGTCCGTACGGAAATCGTGTGCGCTCCGTCCGGACCGCATCCGAACGGCAATCAGCTGTTGATTTTCCGTCAGCTCTCCGCATGCGTTTCGGATGCGGTTGCTACGGAGACGGAAGAGTGATGTCCGACGCGTTGAACTTTTCTGCGGAAAACGCATCCGGAACGTCCGGAACAGACGTGGTTTGGGGCCGTATCGGAGGCAAACATTGTGAATTGTACGAAGAATTGGAACTCGATCATCATGAAGTAAGTAAAAATTATTTCCTTAGAATGGCAAGAGTATTCGCTGCTGGTTACTTGCAATATTTTATTTGGTAATAAGTGATAGGAAACATTTATTAGCTCTCCGCATCCGGACCGCATCCGGACCGGATGCGGCCAGCGTGCGGCGACATTCCGGACGGACTCCGGACGGAATTCCGTCGCAGTGGACGGCGGCCTTAAGGCTTGCCGAGCTTAGAAATTTTTATCATTAAATTCAGAAGACAAAGTTGAGGGGTGATTAAAGTTTTAACAAAAATTGAAGGGGTCCGCTCTCAAATGACCTTGACCTTTGACCCCTCATATCTCAGCCCCCAGAGCTTGCCGAACTTAGATAATTCAGGATATTAATAAGAGTGTCTAGATGTATCAGCTCACAAAAATTCATTAAAATCTGAGGGGTCCGCTTTAAAATGGGTCACGTGACCTCCACGTGGCTGCAACCTTTGACCTGACCTAACTTCTAGGTCAGGGCTTGCCGGGCTTAGATTTTATGTCCATCGTGCTCAGCATGTCAAGTTGCATCTGTGTGCAAATTTTGAGGTAATTCTGAGGGGTCCGCCCTCAATGACCTTGAACTTTGACCCCTAATATCTCAGCCCCCAGGGCTTGCCGAGCTTAGATAATTTTTTTCTGTGATGACCAGGTCATGCTGAGTGGCTGGTGTAAATTTGGTGAGATTCTAAGGGGTCCGTTTTTATCATTTTTTCCATCGAATATGAATCTGCAATCTGAATTTGAATTTGAAGCTAAGTATATAAACGTATTCGAAACGCGGGGATGAAAGGGAAAGTCTCAGGTGCGTCAAAAATGAAACTCTCCTACTTTGTTCAATTTTGAGATTTGCACCTCACAGACAGGGCTGACCAATGGTATTGCAGAGACTGACGCTTTCTGCTTCTCTGGATTCCATGGCAACCAGGGGTGAGCCAATGAGCAAACAGTTGTTTACTGCATGGGCTGGAAACGTGAAAGCAGCAAACTACCAATTGATATGTGGTGAGCATATCCTTGGTTCGCGACAGAATATCTGAAATTTACTAATTTAGAGTGAACAATGAATGAGCGTAAATAAGTTGAGCCCGTGATTCATGATAGGAGCTGGTCTCGCGCACAAGCACACATGCAGAATAGCGCCCCAGTCCCTGACTGGGATGTCACTTTGCAAGACCGTGCATTCTCACTTTGCATGCGATTCGGAGGAGCGCCACGGAGGCCGAAGCGCCAATTCATCGGCTGCCGCGTTCAGAGGCGTATCTCTCTGAACGGCCAGCCTCCGGTGATATTCCGCGCGCATGAAATATTCCACGGATTCCACGTGGAATGTGCTTCTCCGAACGCACCACCAGTCTCGAACCGAGCACAAGTTTTCGAGAGGAACTCATTTATTTGCTGGACGCAGGACGGGCGTTTTGAACGGCCACTTTTTAGAGCCCTTTTGCTCCCTACCGATGTTGATGTGGCCCACCGACTCGGGGTCACGACTCACATGCGAGACAAAATCTGTTGGAGGCTTATGAAGGACACGCACAAATTTGTAGGTAGGGTATAAAAAGATATGCTTCAGCTTATCTACATCTCAGTATTTTTGGGAAGGGGCTTCTGCACACTCTACACTCACTTTTTGCAATGATACTGCCACTGGCGCTAAACACTTCAATAACTGCGCCTTTCAAAACACACAGATGCTAGCGATGCTACCGTCATTTGGCCTGGGCTTTTGCTTTAGTGGCACCGTTTCTTTTAATCGGCAAATTGAGCTCCAGCGCCATTAATGTCGACAAGTTATTGAAGAAGCGAGGGTTGGCTGTCCGCTTTTATGCGAGATATTGTCGGAATTAAACGCATTTTTCGTTCAGTCTGTGGCTCAAATCAAAAGCTAGTTGCAAGACTTTAGTTTTTGGATCATCTGAGTCCGTGAAAGTTCTTAAATAAGCTGATATATGAGCTTGAAGTTGGCCATCGGGCTGGTGGGGGCGCTGCTGTTTTTGCTGCAGTTCTGGCGCAGTAATCCGTGGAAGTTTCTGTGCCTGTGTTGAGAAGCGGCGGACAAGTTTGTATCGCAACGGCGTCAATGGATGGTTGATAAACTCCCTTCCAGTGCATTTTTCTGATATCTGTCACTGTGAGTCTTCAATAGTTGGATGAAGTTCACCCAATATCTTCAAATAACCTTGAATTACACCAGAAAGTTGATAGCTATATGTATTTATATGTGCTATTTCACATATAAATAGCAAATAAGTTTGTATTCAGAGGAATCCTGGCATAATATGTAGGAAGCACTTCAAAGAACTTCAAGAAAATGACAATTATAGTTTTTCTTATTGATACATCTGCATCTATGAACCAGCAAGCCTTCTCGGGTGGCCATCCGACTTTACTCGATGTTGCAAAGGGAGCAGTGGAGACCTTTGTCAAGGTAAGTTGAACTATATTTTTGTATATTATGAGTGTTTTTGGGAATTCTCAACAAGTTGCATGCCCACACAACATCTGGACAAAGGATAAAGCACTGAAATGCTTTTATTCCGGTGTTGATTTCCAGAAAGGATTGTTATGATAATTGTGATATTTTTTATCAGCCCATTTAGAGATGCAGGCTATTCAGATATTCAAATGACATGCTGTGAGTATTCTTTTAAAATGCTGGTGCAGAACTTTTACTTTATTGCGTTCAGTTAACTATTCTGTGCATAATAAATAGATTTGTTAACTTCTTTAAAATCACAGAGCTCTTATGAGCTTGCCAAGGTGCTTCCTTATGGCAGTCTTAATAAGCATAAGCTTTAGATTTTCAACTCTCAAAAGCTTTGTTGTTCATGTTGCCTAAGTGACATCCCATTTTAAATGAACAGCTCATTCTAGGCCAGAGTGTATCCATCTACAGTCTGCTTCTTCTTCTGCTCAGCTTCCTTTTATATTTCATCAGTGGTTATTGGTTTCAGTTTTAAATCTTGCAGCTTAGAGCAAGGCTGCTTGAAGGGCTATTATTACTTGTTATTTTTATCTCAGAGCTTGTATCATTAGGTACTTGTGTGCTGAGAAATATGTTAACCCGCGCCGGGCCGGTGCTCTGAGATTCCGCGCCGGGCCGGGGGGGGGGGGTGTCTGAACACCCCCCCTTCTAACTCGGCTCCTGGACCACGTAGCGACACGCGGTAAGCGGCAATCGAAAGAACGTCGAAAATAAGGACGAAAACACTTCGGTCATTTTTGGGGTCAGGTCAAAGGTCAGGTCACCAGAGGTCACCAAAGGTCAAATGCCCACTATTTCAACATTTTGGAAACTGCCAACGGCTATCTCGGGAACCGATAGAGCTACAGCGCCGCAGAAAAGCGCATTCGATAGCCCTTTTACAGACCTTTCTGAGTAATGTTCTCAGATTTGACCTCAGGTCAACGGTTTAGCCTCCAGAGGGCAAAAACTCCAAAAATAGCCGTTTTTACGAAAAACGTTTTTTCGACAATAACTTTTGACTCAAAAGAGCCACGACATTACTTTTGCCACCATCGTGTTCCTCTCGTCGAGACGCGTCGAATGAACTATAATTTGACCTTGAAAGGTCAACTTGAAAATTTGACCTCAGGTCAAGGTCATGACCTGACCGGAAAAGGTCATGTTGCATATCAGTCGATCCGCAACGTCGAGCCGAACACATCTAAGGCGTTTTCAGCGCTCTAGCACGTCGCTATCAGAAGATATTAGCGAAAAACTGTTAGATTCTGTTCGTGACCTGAGATGACCTCGGGGACATAACGCGGGGTCACAGTTGCCATTTCCCGGTTCAGTGCGTCCATTTTACCTATATCTCGATGTTTGAGAGTGTCTAGAATAGCGTTCGTGCAAAACAGACGGTTTTCAATTTTCTCCCATTGACTTATAATGGGCAGGTCGCAAAATTGACCTGACCTTAGGTCACCGATATCAAAATTCCGAGATATACATTTTATAGATACTGTTGCTCTAATCAATCGCTGAAAGTTTCAAGGAAATCGATCAATCGGTGTAGCTATGACGAGCATTCTTATTTTTTCTGAGGTGAGGTCACTTAGCGTGACCTGGTGACCTGACCTAAGGTGACCTGGGTCTGAAATTTTCACAAGATGTGCGGAAAAGATGCACGAACAGGTGTGCCAAAAACGGCGGCGCTCCGCGCCGCCGTTTTTGAGATATCTGCAAAAAACCGCAGGGGGGGGGGGTGTTCAAACACCCCCCCCCCCCGGCCCGGCGCGGGTTAAATATTTGATAAAGAATGCAATTTATTGTCCATATGCTTCACAACTGAAGTATCTGTGGGTAGCATTGCTGAGCTAGCCTTGCACAACCTGTTTAAATTGTAGGGTTACACTTAAAACGTTTCATAGGTCCTCTAATGTGAGGCCATTAGATCATGTAAAATATTACAAAAGCAACATTTGGAGACAGGTGCTGAAGAGAAGCCTTGAAATGTCTCAAATGCAACAGCTGTGAAAATTTGTTGCAACTTGGTTACCAGTCAGACACCTTATCTGCTAGGCTGTGAGGATTCTCCTCATGGTCCAGTTGCAGGCTTATACCAGGGAACATATCTTGTCACATTAGCCATGAGATTGAAAAGCACAGGCAGCAGACAGATGGAATAATGACCATGCTGACTTTGATTGTGTCGCTGGCTGCTGGATTCTGTTGTCGTCTTGCTGGAGGATCGTCCACAGCTCTTGAACAGGATTTGCTGCTCCTGGTCGTTTCTTCTTCACCGAAATGTAGAGTATGAACCTCTGATTCAATATGAGGTCTCTAAGAAAAAGATCTCCGAAAAAGTTACCGTATGCTCTCTCCGCGATTTCCCAGCTCTGTTTCTTCTCCAGCTTTGAATCGGTTTGTCAAAACATGTCCAAATCGGGGAAAGCTGATTTTTTTTCTTCTTATTCTACCACCTGTGACACGGAAGGCAGAAGTTGCTCCATTACCTGCTAAAGCTTACATTGTCACTTTGCATAACACATTGGCGTCCTTCCCCATTTTCTGACATAACATACGAAAAGCATTGAGACAAGCGGTAATCGCCTCGGTTCGCTCGCGCGCTCGTTTTGATCATAGAATGAGCTCATTACACCCCACCGAATCAGAGCATTACCGGCACCGTGAAAACGAAAGAGCCCCTCGCAGCTCGCGCGGTGACGTGTCGCGAACGAGCTGTTAGCTGCTGTCTCAGCTCAGCATGCAAAGTGGATGATTTGTTGACGTAAACAAGAGTTAACTTCAGCAAGATCAACAACTAGGCAATCATGCTGATACATCACGCTCTGTAGTGACAACCAAGTCGAGGAAACGGAATGGAGGTTAACTAGTTTGATGCTCTCTGTGGCGCTCGATGCATTGTGAATCGCAGCTCTTATCAATATTGGTTCTGATAACGGTGGTATTTCTGGACCACAAGCTGTCGTCATGTAGGAGCCTATTGTTTATCAACGCTCTAAAGCTGGTTAAGCATCACTTGCTCAGCGACGGCTCAGTGCTAGCAGAAGAAATCGCTGGATTGCATGCATCCATGATTGTGATAACGTTCGATGGAAGAAGTAATCTCGTTAATATTTCAAGTGAGAGTTATTGCCTGTACCCGGTGAGTGGTTATCGGCGAGGATGTCGCCATGGGTCTCTCTCGTCGAGTCCAGCACACAGCGCTTCGAGTTCCGTGGCCAGGGATCCGCCCGAGCTCTTCTCTCGTGGTTGGCCCATGTGCCCCTTTCCATTGCAGTCCATCCTCCCTTACGGGGTGTTTTATTTTTCTCGCGGGGATATTTTCTTTTTCCCACGAGGGACTCGTCTCCAAGGGCTCCTTCTTTTCTTCTCCAGCCTTTGTCCTTCCTCGTCCCAATCCCCCGTCTATCGAGGCAGTCACTTCTCTTCACTTTCCCCACTTTTCTCCGTCCCCCTCCCACTTCTCCCCGTCTCCCCACTTCTCCCCGTCTCCCACTTCTCCCCCGTCCCCCCGCGCAGTGTGGGTGTCGGTGCCCGGTCGGCGGCAGTCGCTCGGAGGTGAGCCAGCCGACAGCCGCCTCGTGGGGAGGACGCGCCGTACCCGCCGCCTTATCTTCACCCGACGCTACTAGCCGCTCGGCCCGCAACAGCTGAGTGCCCGGCCCCGCCGAATCGAATCACCCGCACACGGTCTGGCGGTGAGTCGGTGTGGTCCGGGGTCCGCCCGCCCCCAGAGGCCTCCGCGGGTGCCTGTTTATTGATTCCGAAACAGGTAGCGGCGGCCGGTGACCGTGTGACGGGCCGACTCAGAGGTGAGGTTTATTACACGGCAGAAATCAGCCGCGACGCCGGCGGTGTGGCGAGGTGGTCGGCGGCAGGAGTTGTGAGGGCTGTGATACCTGCTGTGATACCTGCTGTGATACGCGAGGGTTACATGTGCTGTGATAGGCGCTGTGATGAGTGATGTGATGTGTGGATTGATACGGGGGTGATCTATGTGATACGTGAAGTGATAAGCACTGTGTTATGCACCGTGACGCTTCTGTCGTGAGAAGACCGACCGCCCCCTGCTCCTCCGCTGAGTGCTTCACTGCCCAGTGTCCTTTGAAAGTCAACGGCCACAATGACCGTTATTAATCAGGGAAATTGGTTTGCGAAGTGGCATCATGACAGGGCACTTGAAGCGCTGCTGTCGCCCCAGCTTTCCTCGGTGCTTCCTTCCAGTGTGTCCGAAATTGTAATGATGCGGGGAAATCCGCCCATAATGAAAAGCATAACCACATCCTAAAAATGTAAATAAAAACATCCACACAGCAGTCACGACTCATAATGACAACCTCGAACCCAAAAATCTAGGAGGAAGAGAAACACAAACCTCGCAAACTCTTACAACACGCCAAGACAACCATTCGAATGTCCCAAATGTTCAAATATATGACCCAACTTAAACCTCACTTAACATCCCGAATATCAGAATGCCTTCAAAGTTATCAGTATTTGATATTTCTACATCATTTTCTCGTGACATAAAAAGGGTCGAAGTCAAATTTTATTAAAATACGACATCCTTTCAGGCCTTTTTTCTACATCCTCCCCTAACGTAAAATGAATTTAGCCACACTGCTTCCTTCCTGGACGGCGCATCTCTCCGGCGCGGCTGAGACGGCGATATGCGGTCGCGTGGGGCGGGGGAGGAGGACCTCGGCTGCCAAACTTGCTGCCAGAGCTGTGTTGGATGCTGGTTGGTGAAAATTGTCGGCGCCGTTGATTCTATCGATCGACGAGGTCCTCATCTGCTCGAGTTTCTCATCGTAATTTCAACCACGCACCGAGTTGATCCGCTAAGGCTTTTCTCTCCGGAGAGATTTATGGAATAATAGGGCGCAAATGATGCTCAAACAAGCGGCCATGACACGGACGTAAACTCGCGACGAAATCTGTTGTTAAGTCGTCACCAACGCTTAGATGAATCTCTCGCGTTTATTTCGCCGTGGACTGTGGCGTGCTGCCGATTCTGTGTGGTTTTACGCTGGTGTGGGCTGTGTTTACGCGATGTGCTGTTATTAGTGACTGGCAGGCGGCAGCTCGGCTCTGGTAACCAAACAACGGGCGCCGCCTCTGCAGTGGGGAGAGGGAGTGGCTGCCGCCGGTGGTCTGTGGGTCTCCCCCTGCTCACTGTCACTGGGGGGGGGGGGGGGGGTCCGCCGCTTCTGCAGTAGGGAAGGGAGGGGCTTCCATAGGTTCTCCGGGTTCTCGGTGGTCTCTGGGTCGAACTCTGCTCACTGCTTCTCTGCCGTCTGCCACCGCTGCCGGCCCTGGGATGGGATGGGGTGTGCTCCGCCGCCCCTGCCGCGGGGAGGGGCATGTCTCCACCGCTGGTCTCCGGGTCGTCCCTGCTCACTGCCACTGGGCTGGGGAGGGGGGAGGGGTGCGATCCGCCACTGCCACTGGGCCGGTGGGGGGGGGGGGGGTCGCGATCCGCCACTGCCAGTGGCCGGGAGAGAGGGGTGGGGATGGGGGGTCGCGATCCACCGCTGCTGACACCACCACCACCACTGCAAAGATGTGCTCGGCGTGTGTGGTGAGGTGATGGGCAGAGGAGCGGCGCGGTTGGAGGCGAGAGCCCCACGGAGATCAATCGTGCATAAGAAGCTCGGCTTCTACCCCGACTATCGGCGCCGTGTAGGCTGCTGCAGCGCTGTGTGGGCACGGAAGCAGCGGCACAGGTGCAACCTGTTTGATGATGCTATACGTGCTAGGTATCGGTTCTGAACGGCGGCAATGGCTGCGAGTTTCGCCCGGCGGAAGGGTTGCTGTCACTGGCTAAACGGGGATTGTGTGATGGTATCACCGTTAGGTGGAAGATCACAGGTCTGTGACGTCACGTGTTGATGTACTGCCGCTCGCACAGTGAGGTCACTGGCGGTTTCGCAATGACGTGGTTTATTTCATCGGCATTACGCTGTTCTTTTATTTGTTTAATTTTATTAGCAGCGCCCTTGTAGCAATCGTGTTTGGAACGATTAGCGGCGTTGGATTTTGAGATATGGCTCGTCGTTCAGGCTGGAGGAGTGATTAGGACAGTGGCTGCAGCGAGTCGCGGCCCTGCATGGGCACTTGACATAATGAAACGATCCACTTGGCAGTCATTGGCATCTATTGCTGCCACTGCTCCGGGTCTCGAGTCGATGCGAACCAACTAACACCAACTAATATCTGCTACCCTCATCCCTCCGTTTACCGAGTGTTGGGGATCTGAGTCCGATGCACTTTGTATGACCATTGTATTCTAACGCTGGTCGGATGGTGCCGTTACAGATTCGACAGAGGTCCCCGGAGAGCAAAGGCGATCGCTACATGCTGCTAACGTTCGAGGACCATCCACATCACATCAAGGTACGAGTATTGTCTAGCGTAGCTCCAAGCTCCAACTAAAGCGTCAACTTTCAGTCGAAGCGCTGCGGCGCCTCAGCTGAAGTGACTGTCAGGCGCGGTGTCGTTTCCAGTTACGTTATTTGTTCCGTTTTTGCGGTCGGCTCCGGGACGTCGTCCTGCCGACGGGTCCGATCGAACGCCATTTGACGGCGGGTTACATTGAGTTGACACATCTGCTCGACTTATGCCGTCCTAGTGGCAGTCTGGCCAATATTGTGGTCGGAAGCTCTGTCGAATGTCGGCAGTGCTTCCATATTGCAGTGTGCAGCCCTCGTCTCAGTGCGTGAAAGGCATTCCTGTTGCGGTAAAGTCGAGAATCGCTCGAATGCTGCTAAGCTCACGGTATATTTTAGCGAAACACAAGCTTTCCCCTCCGCGATAAGACCGACCACATCTGCACCTGCCCTTCGTTCCACATGTCCACACTCCACCGTCTCCCTTCTCCACAGGCCGGCTGGAAGGAGAACCTGCAGACCTTCACACAGGAGCTGAAGAACCTGCAGGCGTTCGGCATGACCCACATGGGGATGGCCATCAAGAACACGTTCGATGTGCTCAACCTCAACCGGATGCAGTCGGGTGAGAGGGCAGGCAGGGGAGAGAGAGCGAGAGAGGCGACCGCCCGCGCGGGATGCGATGGGCTGCGGGGTGGGAGGCGAGGAGATGACCAATGGAGAGATAGTAGTCGTGTGTTTGAGACGGTCAGGCTACAGATGATCGTATAGATCTGATAGGGCTAGGTCGGAAACCTTACCCTTGCTTATCTCGATCGCTGGAGAACCTGTAAGAGATCTGTTGACATGGCGGAAAAATTTATTGGACGAACGCTATCGTGCCGTATCGTCTGATTTAGTGTCCTTGGTCGCCGAAGAGGGTGCTTATGAATATGTTAACGCCATTTTGTGGTTGTAAACCTTACACTGGATGCACCCGTCGTACCCAGCCTCAAACTTTAGCTGCCAGTGTTACGATGGCATCAGTCCATGGATGCATTTCGACAACGACTCCGTTTGTTGATCTGTCTGATAGGAAGTCAAACATTCGCTGGCGCTGGTGTGGGGTCTGTAGCTGAAGACGGAGAGAGGTTACGCCTCGGATGGGGAGCGCTGTCAGTTTAGATGGTGCCCGAGTCCGTATTGTGCGGCGGCTTTATTTGATGGTCAGTCCCGTCAGACCAGATGCTGTTATTCGCGACTGGGCGGTCGGCAGTGTGGCGCTGCCGCGGTGGCGCGGCTGCTCATGTTCTGTTCTGAATTATGGATGCGGTGAATGTAACCATTCAACGCTCCCGTACTTTGGTTGGCGGCTGGCTCTCGGTGAAGTTCGTTCAAAGTGTTGAGCTATATTCTGTGGAGCGTCAGTGTTAGTTTTGATGCTGACTTAAAATTATGCTTGAATTGCTCCAAGGTTATGTATCTTTGTAACACCAACTTGACGGAACAGAGGGGTGGAATATTTCGCGAGCGCTCAAAAGTGACTTTAAAGTTCCGGCTCGTGCTTTTGCAGTGGCGATGTCGTTCTCAAAGGCATTCTGAATTGATAAATAGCGTCTTAAGTATCGCTGACGAATCTCATAGAGAAGGTACGGACCCACGTTTATCTACCAGATAGAGAATGAAGCGGTTGTTTTAGTCCTTGCTTAATTTGAGACGAGCGCGTATATCCGGAGCATACAAAAGCTTGGACAGTGGTCCCCAGTTTACCCTTCATTGCCCCTCATTTCAATAAATGTTGCTCGATTTTCAGTGAACCAATTTATGCTCAGCTTTGTATCTGGCATACGTGTGTGTCTGACACGCGACTGTTTTCTTGATGGGACACTGTTAACAGGATACCCTGCTCACTTCGCTGTACCTTGCATATCACAGTTACCCTTTGGACTACCAGCCCCCACCGCTCTCACTCTGCCGGTGTGCCTCCGCTCTTTCTCACTCGTTCCCCTACCTCCTCTCTCCGGCAGGTATCGACATGTACGGCCAGGGCCGGTGTCCGTTCTTTTTGGAGCCATCCATCATCGTCTGTATCACCGACGGCGGCCGGCTCACCGGACAAAACAACTCCGTCATGGACGAGGTAGGATGGCGGCGACGCTGCGAAGCGTTGTTGGGATTCGATGACTGCAACAGCATGGGTTCGAACATCTCACCCATAAACAATTGTCTAAACAATTGTTCATGGTAGTGATATTAGAATCCGCTGTCAGTTCATCATTTTAGAGACAGCAATGATGTACTTACAGTGAAGCTTGGTGTGTTCCACCGTTTCTCGATCCCGCAACTGAGTGCCGAAAGACCGCCTGAAGTTTTGTTGCTACCATTTCGTGGTCACGTCGCCATTGTCTCAGTAGCCGTTGTTTTTGGTTTTTGTGATAACCAATGCAAATATTTTGCGCGAATATCATGGATACGATTCCGGAAGGTGCGCTGAACAGAATCACTCTTGGGCAGGGCTGCCTACGTTTAATCAGTATACTCTGACTAGTCGAGAAGCTGGAGCTAAAGATAGAAGCTCAACTTTAGCGGCCCACAGAGTCTGACCCGGCCTGTCGAACTCAACGACCAGGCTGTGGATAAGGCTTTCCCACCCAGAGTACTTCGTCCTGGAGAGTCGAGGATCGGAACTCTGTCCCATTTTAGTCTTTCGTTTATGTGAGCCCTTGTATGCTTTTTTGTTTCCAATTCGTTTATTGGGACTGAAGTCATTTTTTGTCGTTTTTTATCTTTTTTATTACGTCCCTCTTAGTTCTTGGCTTGTATCCATCCGTCACATTCTAGGATCTCATTAATTGATTAATCAATTAATTCATTCATTCATTTATTACTTCATTCATTCATTTATTACTTCATTCATTCATTTATTAATTAATTAATTAATTCATTCATTCATTCATTCATTCATTCATTCACTTATTCATTCATCCGTCAGTTTATACATTCAGTCAGTCAGTCATTCATTCATTCAGTCATTCTCTCTCTCTCTCTCTCTCTCTCTCTCTCTCTCTCTCTCTCTCTCTCTCTCTCTCTCTCTCTCTCTCTCTCTCTCTCTCTCTCTCCTCTCTCTCATCTCTCTCTCTCTCCCTCCCCCCTCTCTCCCTCTCCCTCTCCCTCTCCCTCCCCCCTCTCCCTCCCTCCCTCCCTCCCTCTGTGACCGTCACTAACCCCCCGCCCCCCCCCCCCTCTCGGCAGCTGAAGATCCCGCGCGACGGCCGGATACCGGGCACTGAGCTGACCCGGGACGTATTCCGCTGGGACCAGCGGCTCTTCAGCCTGGTGCTGCGGCTGACGGGCACACCGCCCCACGAGCGGGACGGCACCGGACTGGTGGACAGCGACTCGAGCGGCATCGGCAAACTGTGTGACGCCACTGGAGGTGAGAGTTGAGGCGAGGGAAGAAGGTTGCTGCAGGGCATAATGTTGGTTGGTGGGTCTGAGTTAGCTCGTGTCGTTTAGTGATGAGAAGGAGCTTGGGTTGTTAGTTTTGTTGTTCATTCGAATAACGAACGGTAAGCCAGGCTTGAAAGGTCTTGCCTGATCAATCAGGATATTGGATAAGGCCTTCTATTTTGATTAGTTCATTATTTCCACTTTGCTGCTGCGTAAGACACTCCATTAGGCGTTCGTTGTCTAAATCAGGCGACAACTGTTTAAGTATTGGCTCGGTGCCGCTGTATCAGTTCGCTAGTAGGTATAGGCAGGCGCTGGACAAATGTTACCAAACGCTGTCCGCTAACGGCTACCAAAATAGACCAACAGGAACAAAAACGGACACAGTGCATTACTTAGCGTCCACATACTGGCCAGGAGTATCTATGGTTTCGCAACGAAAGTTTCCCCGCAGGGGGTTGGCAGTGGCCTGGGTCGCTGTTGGACTGGGCTCCTTGGGCCCTCTCCCCGCGGCGGCCCTGGCCTCGGCCAGCAAGGGGAGTAGCGCCCCCTCGGCCCCAGCTTGACACTTGTTTGCTTACGACTTGCTTCGATCACTGGATGAACAGATGGTACGGCCTGACTCTTCTTGGTTTCCGTGGTTTTGTTTCTGTTAAGCGGTCTTTGTTTGCTTTTGCTTTGCTTCTCACCGGATGTTCGCGTTTCGTTCGATCACAGTTTTTTTTTTCATTCCTTTCTTACCCTTTTTCGTTGTTGTTGCACCCGCAGGAACACAGCCGAGTTGGGCTAGTGTAAGGGGAGTGGCGTCCCCTCGGGTACCAGCCGGTTTTACTAGGCTAGGCGAGCCGACCCGTACCCCAGGACAACGGGATCCTGGAGGTTGAGCCCCCCACCGTGCGGAGCCAGTCGCGGTGGCTGGGCAACACGCCTCTTTGGCCCTGAGTTCTGTAAGGGCGGGACACTCAGTGGGGCGCCGCACTTGAGGAGCCATTTCCAGTCGTGATGCCGCCGGGGGTGGTGTCGGAGAGGTGTCGCCGGCGGGGTTCGGGCACTTGTGCTCGTCCTCCGTCGGTGGGACTGATCTGTCGCTGCCCCTGGCGGTGACTCGGCGAGGCGTCAAGGGAGGAGGCGGTATCCGACCGTGGGGGGTGGTGAGTCTCTCTCTCCCCCGCGGAAGGTGCCGCCAAGTCCCGTACAGTCAGCTCGGCCGTCCCAGGCCTTGTAGCGGCGCCGTTGCGGAGCGTCGGCGGCCGAGCTGGCGGAGACCAAGCACACTTACATGGATGACCGGACCAACCCCCCTTCCCCTCAATCCAACCCCTCGGCTTCGGCCGATTCTCGCCCGTTGGCCTCGGCCGGCGGGCGAACGTCGCACGAGAAGGTTCCTCGAAACCCAAAGATCCTTATCCTCAGGAGCAGTGACAAACAGCTGGGTGCGCTGTCCCCCTTCCAACGGAAGGACGGCTGCGACCGCCTCGGCAAGATCCTCCGCTGCGATCGGATGCGCGATGGGGCTTTGGAAGTCGAATTCGAGAAAAGTGAGGAGGCTGCAAAAGCCCTAAGCGCCACCCGATTTGTGTATACCGAGGGACGGGCCTCCGGCAGGAAGCTGGTCTCTGTCCCTCTCTCAGTTGAGCCGCACAGGTCAAAGAACTCGAGCAGAGGGGTCATCAACTGCTTTGACCTCAGAGACGTGAGCAATGACGACATCGCAGACGGCCTCGCCGACTTTGGCGTCACAGCAGCACACCGCATCTTGGCGAGGAGAGGCACGGTCCCCACGAATAACATTATCTTAACCTTTGACTCCACCGACATGCCGAGCGAGGTTCGCGTGGGGTACGCGAGGGTTCGTGTGCGCCCTTACGTCCCGGCTCCCATGCGTTGCTTCCGCTGTCAACGTTTCGGTCATACGAAGGACAACTGCCGAGGCAAACCCGTGTGCTCCAAGTGTGCTTCCCAGGACCACACTGACGACACGTGCAGCTCGGAGACCCCTCGATGCGTCAACTGCGGAGAGGGGCAGACACCGCACTCCGCGTATGACAGGTCCTGCCCTACATACGTCAAAGAAAAGGAGATAAACACCATCAAGGCTACCAGAAATCTGTCGTTTAAAGAGGCCCGGGAGGTGTATAACCAAACTCACCCGAAGACCTCGTATGCCCAAAAGGTGAGAGTGACAAACTCAACCGATGCCTCCCAGATGAGTGTTGCACAGCTCGTGCAGCTCCTCAAGCGATTCGGCCTCACTGTCGTAGCCACTGATGGCTCAGCGGACCCCCCGGCGCCTCGTGCGCCGCCGAGCGACACGGAGCAGGCTGCTCAGGAGTCAGTGTGGGGTCCACCCAGTCCGGCTCCAGCCGCGAGTGGAGACGAGTGGACCGTCGTCCAGCGCCGACAGGGTGGTCGGCGCCCCCCGGCGCAGGGTAAGGCGCCACCCACCCCGCCCCGCCCCCGACCGTCTACGGCGGTGCAGGAGGCTCTGCGGCGGGGGGAGGAGGAGAGGAGGGCACGTGAGGCGAGGAGGGCTCGCCTCGTCCAGAAGGCCCTCGAGGCTAAGGAAGCCTCGTCTGCCGACTCCGCCTCCGGGAGTGCCAACGCGGCCGCCGCCGCTGACACCCCGGAGACACCTGAGGCGGGGACTCGGCCCATCATGGGTCCCCCGCCGCCTCCTCCACCTCCGCAGCGGCGGCCACCACCGCCGCTGCCAGAGACGCCTGTGTCGAGGACACAGGCCGCCGCCTCGACATCCCCGTCGGGGCGGCAACAGTCCTCCGCGGCTCCAGGGCGCCTCGCCAAGCGGCAGACGCCCCCGAGCTGGTCGCCCTCGGAGGGTGACGCCCCTCGGGCGAAAAAGCCCCAGCAGGGCTCTAGCCACGCCCGATCTGCCTCCGCTGAAGGGAGGCTTCACCGAGAGGGCTCGGGGCACCCCCGCATCCGTTACGGGGGGAGCGCCTCCTCGGAGTTAGAGGACCTAGTCTAGTCTTTCAGTCTAGTCATTTCCTCTTTTATCCTTTTATCTTTTTCGCGCTATTGCGCTTTTTTACCAGGTGCATTTCTCTCGGTGTTTTTTACCTTTTTTGTGGTCAGTCAGGTATCTGCGTGCGCCTTTGCCTCATGTTATACGCGCCCTTTTTGCGCCTTTTTAACCACGCCTTTTATTCTACAGTGGAACTGTAGAGGCCTCCGGGCCAACTACCAGGACTTACAGTCTCTTATCCGTTGGCGCACACCCCTTGTTTTAGGTCTCCAGGAGACCAAGCTTGCGCCAAACGTCACCCTTGCCATCAAGGGCTACTCTGTTTTTAGGAGAGACCTGGACACCCCTACCATTGCCCATGGAGGTGTGCTTCTGGCGGTTCACCACAGCGTACCTGCGCGCCAGGTGCCGCTGCAGACTCCCCTGCAGGCGGTGGCCGCCAGAGTTGATTTCAACCACCGGGAACTGACTGTGTGCTCCTTATACCTTCCACCAGGTATAGCGCTCCCGGTGGTTGAGCTTCATCGACTTGTCGATGAGCTTCCACCTCCGGTCCTGGTAGTCGGCGATTTTAACGCCCATAGCCTGGCGTGGGGATGCGACACGACTGGCACTCGTGGTCGACTTTTAGAATCTTTTATCCGCGATGAGGCGCTGTGTATTTTAAATACAGGACAGCGCACCCATTTTACAACACCCTCCGGTCAAACATCGGCTCTGGACCTGAGCTTAGTCAGTCCGCGGCTAGCTCAGCTTTTTACCTGGTCCGTCCATGACGACCCACTCGGGAGCGACCACTTCCCAGTGTGGCTGGAGCACCAGGAGTCCCCAGTGTCGGGCAACCGTCCACCTAGGTGGAATGTTCGGAAAGCCGACTGGGACGAATTCCAGGCCGCTGTAGAGGCCTCTGTTTTAGCCAGAGCCGACGCCTCTGTGATGTCTACAGAGGATTTTACATCTTTACTCAATGACTCCGCAAACGGGTGCATACCCAAGACGTCGAGTCAGCCTCGTCGTCCTCCGGTCCCGTGGTGGACTAAGGAATGCGGAGATGCGATTCGTGCCAGGAAACGCGCTTTTAGAAAGTTTGACCGGAGTGGTACTACTGAGAACCTCATCGCTTTTAAGAGAGCGCGGGCTTTTGCCCGACGCGTTTTAAAGGAGGCAAAGGCTGTTTCATGGCGCACGTATGTAAGTTCCTTAAACCGTTTTACTCCTACGACCCAAATATGGGCACGCATGAAGCGCATTGAAGGCCGGTTCAGCTCTGTTCCGCTTCCGGTTTTAAGAGTGAACAACACGGACATATCTCACCCTTCAGACGTCGCAGAGACGATAGGTCGTGCACTCTATCAGCGCTGCCGAGGAGAGCCGTCCTCACGACCTGCACCAGCCGCCGTGGACTTCAGCACAGCTGAAAATTTGGTGTACAACGAGCATTTCTCTATGGCTGAGCTCACGTCTGCCATCAGCTCGTTGCGCAGCGTCTCAGAAGGTCCGGATGCTGTCCACAACGACATGCTCCGTCATCTCCCAGCAGTTGCCCTCGAGGCGCTGCTAGCAACCTTCAATTCGCTTTGGGAGACTGGCACTTTCCCTGAGACCTGGCGGGAAGCCACTATCATTCCTATCTTGAAGGCTGGCAAGTCGGGACATGACCCTCTCCATTATCGGCCCATCTCTCTCACATCATCGCTATCAAAGCTGATGGAGAAGATGGTCAATGTGCGTTTTAGCTGGTTTCTGGAACATCATGGTGTTTTTACAAACGCCCAGTGCGGTTTTAGAAAGCACCGCAGCCCTGTTGACCACATTTTAGCCCTTGACACCGAGATACGCACCTGTTTTACTGAAAAGAAGCACCTTGGAGCACTGTTCTTTGATATTGAGGCGGCCTATGATACAGTCTTACGACACAGCATACTTTCCAAAGTATATAAGTACGGCATACGCGGCCGGATGGGCCTCTTTATCGAGAACTTTTTATCGGGTCGTCGGTTTAAAGTCCGAGTCGGTAACCAGTTGTCTAGCAGTTTTATCCAAGAGAATGGAGTCCCTCAGGGAGGGGTGCTTAGTGTGGCGTTATTCGCAGTGGCGATTAACGATATCGCAGATCGCTTTTTGTTGACGATTTTGCCATCTGGTTCGCCGCTTCCAGCGCTCGGCACATGGCCAGACAACTGCAGCTTGCAGTCAGACGGCTTGAGAGATGGAGCCGCGACAATGGTCTCCGCTTTTCAACGAGGAAGACTGTTGCCATTCATTTCTGTCGCCGCCGCTGCGCCGACCCTACATTGGGTATCCGTCTGTACGGACAGACGATCCCCACGCAGCCGGTGGCGAAGTTTCTTGGTATGACGTTTGACGGACGTTTGACGTATAAAGAACATTTTAGAACGCTTCGGGAACGATGTTTTAAATCCCTGAACGTTTTAAAGTGTGTTGCCCGCACATCATATGGTGCGGATCGCAAAACTCTGCTCCTCTTGTACCGGTCGATCATCCGATCGAAGCTGGACTATGCGTGTTTTGTTTACGATTCTGCAAGTGAGTCCAGCAAGAAGTCCCTGGACGCAGTACATCACGCTGCGCTCCGCGTTGCCACCGGGGCTTTCCGCACTTCTCCAAAGAGTAGTCTTCTGGCTGAAACGAATGAGCCACCTCTAGCTCTTCGTCGCCAGATGCTGGGGATGCGTTACACTTTGAAACTTCGCCAATACCCAACGCATCCGACGTACCCGTACGTCTTTTCACGTCACGCTACTCGATCTGACGGGAGGGTACGACCGTCGTTTGGAGAACGCATGGGAGGTCTTTTTTCAGCTGCTAACATATCCTTGCGTGGCGTTCGGCGTACCTGGGACACGCCCCCTCCACCCTGGAAAAACGCCAATCCGCAAGTGGACCTCTCACTATCGACTGTCAAGAAGGACAACTTGTTGCCTGCTGAGGCGCGAGCCAGAGCCTTAGAGCACATTGCCGTTTATGATGGTTTTATCACGGTTTATACAGACGGCTCGAAGACAACCGAGGGAGCGGGCTGCTCTTTTGTCGCTGGTCGTGACACCCGCTCGTTTTCTCTGCCACCTTCCGCCTCGGTGTTTTCTTCAGAGCTAGTCGCTATAGAGAAGGCTTTGTGTTTCATCGAGGTTTCTGGCAGTCCATTTTACTTGATTTTATCTGATTCTCTTAGCAGCTTATTGGCCTTACGTACTTTTAACTCAGTTGACCCCATCGTGCGGGACATTTTAACTCGGCTTACGTCGGTGGAGCAATCTGGAAAATCAGTCCGTTTCTGCTGGATTCCCAGTCACGTCGGCATTGAAGGCAATGAGCTTGCTGATGCTGCTGCCAGACGCGCCGCCGCAGCACCCTGCACTCGGCGCTTGCCTCTGCCTGCCCGGGATTTTTATCCGCTGGTGCGACCCTTCATGCTTTCAAAGTGGCAGGCAGAGTGGGATTTGTGTGTAAGGAACAAGCTGAGAGAGTTGAAACCAACTCTAGAGCCTTGGCAGTCTTGCCTGCAAGGCAATCGTTTCCAGGAAGTGGTCCTCTGCAGACTCCGTATTGGTCACACATACGCGACGCACAGCTATCTCCTTTCAGGAGGTGAGCAGCCTTTGTGCAACAGGTGTTCCGTGCCTCTAACCGTCGCTCACGTTCTTTTATCTTGCCCACTCTTTGAACGGAACCGGACACGCTACCTGGGCTGTATTGCTCCTGGTACCACTATCCGCCACCTACTGGGTGACGAGTCACCCTGGGTTTTATCCGGCAATATTTTTTCCTTTATCCGTTCGGTCAACTTCCAAGTGATTTACTCAACCTGACCCAATTCCTCTCTAGTCTACTTGTCTAGTCAGTTGACTGTTACGACGCTCTTGCGTTGTTTTATCTTACCTTGTCGTTTTTATCAAGTCTTTTACTTTCTAGCCTTGGTATATAGAAGGTCTCTTGTTTTGAAACACTTGTTTTATTAGTGTGACGTTATGGGCGCAAAATGACCTTCGCAGTCGACGCGCCCTAAAGCCCCAATAAACAACAAAAATCGCAACGAAAGTTTAATGTTCTTGATGTAATTTCGCAAGTCGCGACGTCTTTCTGGCATGTTTCTCAAATCCGGGTTCTAAGATATAAAGGATGGCGGCTCTGCGTGGCACCAGTGAACTCTGTTTGCCGAGGCTTTATGAAGTTCTCGACGCACCGAGCGGACGTGCTGCCGTATCGATTAGCTCCCCATTTCTCACGGCTATGCCTGTGGCCACCATGTGCGTTTTTCTTCTCCAGCTGGCTCCGACACAGGTGTTTGTCGTGCCCCCCCCCCCCGCGTCTGGTCCGCAGCAGGGGGGGTCGTCGCTCTGGTTGTGATTATATTGGACGGGCGGTAGCGGTGGACTGGACGTATCACCACCGGCAATGTCGGTATGCCGGGTTAGGGTGCGACTTATGCCGGCCACTGGTGCTGGCCTTTAGCTGCTGGATACATGTGTGGACCTTACCGTTGGCGGTACGACTCTCTTAGGGTTAAGTGGTTTGTTGTGAACATCATCTAATCTATCAATATTGATTAATACTTTTAAGACTGTTAACAATCATTGCCGAAGTGGCTGCACGAAAGCTCTTCTCTCATTTCTATAAAGATGGAATGTCTGTGTGATACGAAGTTATTATTCCCAAAACAGACCGGCTGACCAACTACTCGTTTACTGGAGGGCCGTACGTGCGCGCTTTGGTGGACGGGCGGTAGGCCGTACTAATGGAGCGTGTGACGGCCTCTGATGAACTGTTAGCGAGCGGTAACGACCTGTTTCGATGGTGCTGAGGCACTGCTAACGTGATAACAGCAGTGCTGATTACTGCTGTATGCTATTTATGTGACTGTGTCCTTGCGCTCGAGAAATAAGGAATATGCGGGCATCGGTAATCCTTGCCTGAACTGGCAGCCACCCGTGTGAGCTCATTGATGGGTGATATTTATGAGGTTTCTTGATCGCCATTATCGTTTTATAGTTAAAGTGAACTGGATTCGAAGTTCAAATTCTCTCAGAGATCGAAGATCTCTGTGTCCATGTGTTCGCAGGTCGCTCATACCCCACCTCTGTGTCTTTGTGTTCGCAGGCCGCTCGTACGTTGCCCCTGAATTTTGTGTGTGTTCACAGGCCGCTCATACCCCACCTCTGTGTCCGCTGTGTGTGTGTGTGTTCGCAGGCCGCTCATACCCCACCTCTGTGTCCGCTGTGTTCACAGGTCGCTCGTACGCCATTACCTCCCACCGAATGCTGATGCAGTGTGTCGAGTCGCTGGTGCAAAAGATACAGAGCGGCGTGGTCATCAACTTCGAGAAGATGGGTCCCGATCCGCCGCCGGTCGCTACCGATCCTGGTGAGATGACCGGATAGGTGTCTCTGCTAGCGATGCTTTGATGCTTTATACGACACGTTCAGCAGACTACGAATCATTTTATCGTTACTGAACTTGTGTCATGGGTGATAAATATCTGAATTAATGTACTTTTCGTGTGTTTGTTTCTACATTAGTTACCGGTCGTTCTTTGTCGTGGCGCATATTCAGGATCTTTCGTTACCGGCTCAAAATGGTTCTATTAATAATATATTAATAATATTACTTCAGACGGGGTCGCGAGCTGAAACCACCGTATCTCTGGGTACGAGTGACCTATGGTGTTGTCAATTTCACGGAATCACGTTAGTACGGTACTGTCAGCCCGTTTACGTAACCAGCCCACACCAGTGGCTGCTCCAGCCTCCAATCGTGGCTGAGTAGCTTCCTAACGCGAACTCTGAACGTAAAGTTGGTCTCAGTAGCGGAAGAGTCAGCACCCAAACAGCATGACGCGAGGCTAACTTCTTTGTTCTTGATGACTTTGGTGACCCAAACAAGCTCAGTTCATGTCCCCAAGTCTCTAGTCTCGTCACCTTACGTCTCGACCAGTCCACTAGCTGATCATAACCTTCCCGACCTAGTCTGTCGACCGACTTGGCCCATTAGTAAAGTGCCACTTCCCTCCACCAGTAATTGGACCCCCTCCCTTTCACGGCCCAGTGTAACGTTCTCCTCCTTCCACCAGGCGGACCTCACCCCTGTTATGCCCCCCTCTGTAACGTGCCCCCCCCCCCCATCCACTAGGCGGATCACCCCCTGCCACGGCTCCCTTTGTGTAACGTACCCCCCCCCCCGCCCCTCTCTCCACCAGGCGGACCGGACACGGACGGTGAAGGAGGCAAGGAGAACGTCATCAACTTCAGCAGCGAGACCAACTCGTCGCGACCGGCCTCGCCGCAGCCGCTGTCCAGCCAGTCGTGGCACAGCTGTCGGAAGCTGATCTACGTGCCGCGCTCGGCGCAGAAGGGCTTCCCGCTCGGCCACTGGCCGATCCCGGAGGCGTTCTGGCCAGAGGTCAGCTCGCCTAGTCTGGTGAGTCGGCGCGGGGGAGGAGGGACGTCTATATGGGGTGATCGTGAGGAAGGGAGGGGCCGATGTGGTTTGGAAGAGTGGGGCTGTTGAATCGATGATGTCATGAAGATTTATGATCAGCGAATATGTATCTTGACTTGACTTCGGATTTCGTTTTCATTTAATCAGCGGCTTGCGAATGTTTACAATTATTATTATGTATTTTGGACGTCTTGTGGAACCAACATTCGCGTTTTGGGAATCAACAATTTGCTGCTACTCTCGCTGTCTTGCTCTGCTCTGTCGGATGCTGACGGTCCGTCCTGCCGACTGCCCTCCCCGCCCTGACCCGGTGCCTCGGTGCTCTGGTGCCCCTGATGACCTGTTGGCTGTCCGTCACAGCCGTCCCGGTCGGCCGTGTGACCCGCCCTGACCCGTAAATGTCCCTCTGACCCTTTTTCTCTGCCCATCACAGCCGTCGCGGTCGGCGCACCCGGTGGTGAAGTTCACCTGCACCAGTCGGGAACCGATGGTGATCGAGAACCTGCCGTTCGACAAGTACGAGCTGGAGCCGAGTCCGCTCACCCAGTTCATCTTATCCAGGAAACAGCCCTCCACCTGCTGGCAGGTGAGACACTGGGACCGGGCGGGAGCCGCATACAGCGTGCTGGTGGCGGGGAACTTTGGCCAGGGGAGCTCCCGTCGACCTGTCTCCTGTCCCTTTCGGAAGGGAGGTCGGCGTGTGCTTTGTGGTTTTGTAGGGTGGCGTAGCAATAAGAAACGACGCATGACAGCTGGACACGCACTCACTTACCCACTCGCTCACTCGCTGTCACTCGCTCACTCACTCACTCACTCACTCACTCACTCTCACTCACTCACTCACTCACTCACTCACTCACTCACTCACTCACTCACTCACTCACTCACTCACTCACTCACTCACTCACTCACTCACTCACTCACTCACTCACTCACTCACTCACTCACTCACTCACTCACTCACTCACTCACTCACTCACTCACTCACTCACTCACTCACTCACTCACTCACTCACTCACTCACTCACTCACTCACTCACTCACTCACTCACTCACTCACTCACTCACTCACTCACTCACTCACTCACTCACTCACTCACTCACTCACTCACTCACTCACTCACTCACTCACTCACTCTCACTCATTCACTCACTCACTCACATCCTCACATTTTCACTCACCCACTCAGCACTATCTCGCACTCTCACTCCTCACTTTCCCTCAGTCTCCCGCCCTCCCTGGCCCATTCACGATATCGGGCTTCCCCTAGTCAGCTGTCGCCGTATCGGAGAAGTGGCAGTAGGTATGGCAGGACGCGATTGGTGACAGCTGCTGATAGACAGCTTACCTTACACATATGTATATGGTCTCGTGTCGCTCCGACGTCTATTCCGGGGGTCTGCATGGCTGAAATGAGCTGTTACCGCTGTCGACCCAGACTGATCATCTGATGAAACCGTGCGCCTGAACTCTGAAGACTTTGGTAGTCATGAATGCGGCGAAAAATAGTCGACACTCGACAGCATGGCGTCCGTGTGTGCAGCTAATCTGACCCGGTTTTCTGCGTACGCCGCCAGGTGTACATCGCCAACAGCTCCAAGGTAGGTGACGCCGGCCTGCCGTTCGGCTACCTCAAGGCCAGCACGACGCTGACGTGTGTCAACCTGTTCGTGATGCCGTACAACTACCCGGTGCTGCTGCCGCTGCTGGACGACCTCTTCAAGGTGCACCGGCTCAAACCCACCAAGGAGTGGAAGGCGCGCTTCGAGAGCTACCTCAGGACCATGCCGGCCTACTATGCCCAGGTGAGTCCAGATGAGGGAGGGGACGGTGGTAGGCGGCGGACAGAATGGATCTGAGAAGGCGGGTGCGGACGGTAGGGTGGGATGCCGTCTGGGTGATGGGCAAACTGTGGCATACAAGCGTTTGCTCTAGTCATGTTGATTTGCGTCATGCCTTGCTCTACCGTCCATTTTCAGTGGCTTGACTCGGTACATAACTTCATGTTCCCAACTCTTGAAACCTGTCACTTTTCGTCTCGACCAGCCCACTAGCTGCTCATAATCTTTCTGACTCTCGGTAATAATTTGTTGCCCAGTTGTGTCTTGACGCCTGCCTTGCTATTGTTAGATCCTGAATAAATGTCTCCTGAATCTTATAAGCCTGTCATATGATTTCCGCTGTCCGAGCTGTTTCATTGCGATGTTTCCCCCTTACCAGCCTCTCCTGGGGACTCTGTCGTCGCTATGACGCCACTGCTTCTCACTCCCTCTCTCCTTCTCAGCCTCTACGTCAGGCACTGAAGCGGATGGGAGCGCCGAATCTAGTGCCCGACAACCTGGACAATGGGCTGTCCGTCAACGTCATCAACCACCTGAAGCGGCTCAAGAACCAGGCCAAGCTCGAGTACGACCGACTGTGTAACGAGGTGGCCGCCCGCCAGCCGGGCTCGGACCAGGCGGCTGTGAAGGTCACCAGCAGGAGGCCGCCGCCGCGAGAGGCTACCAGCAACCCGGCGCTCAAAGGTGAGGGGAGGGGTAGGAAGGGGTTGGTGGGTGTGGGGTCGGCAGCGGGGGAGAGATGGGGGTGGGTTGGTGAGAGGTGGTGAGAGCGTTTCGCGTCCACCTGAACTGAGACTTGCTCGAGCCGTGTGGGTGTAGGTCATCTGTATTCGTAACGAGGCTTAGTTGTTAGGAAAACTTGATTGATAAGTAACCGCACTGATATCATCACACTCGACGTTGATAGTTAATTTGCCGTCAATTCATGCGAAATGTGAAAAACATTTCAGTGTAATGACAGGCCTTACGCCCAGCGCAATTCTTGAACCAACTCACCGTTCCCCTGCCCCGTTTGACCTTACAGACAAGTTCGCCGGCCTGCTGGAGCAGATGCGGGACATGGCCGGCGTGACGCTGGCAGTGCGGGACGGCGACCTGCCCACGCAGAGCTATCGAAATCCGTTCGACATCGGACGCAAACACCTGCTGGACCAGGTGGTGCGCATGCGCGCCAACTTCATGCAGACCAACGTGTCGCTCATCAAAATGCAGGACCAGGTGGGTGGCGCGCGGCGGGGGTGACGGTAGGAGCCGGGGTGGGTCAACGGTGCGAATTGTTGACTGGATCATGAGCTTGCATATGATAATGTTGGCGAGGCGAGTCTGGTTGCTAGGTTTTCTGTGTTCTACAGACGTTAACATAAATATGTATATGCGAATTCGACAGAGTGCGAGTATATTCGCATCCTGCATTCTCTCTGATATGACGCTAACGTCCGTGCAACATTTGTAATCCACCCTCGCGTGACATCTGCCTGACTTTTGCGAGTCCCTCCCCCTACTGACCTCTCCCCCTGCGTAACTACCCCAGGACCAGGTGCATAACATGGCCGTCAGTCAGATGGGCAACTACCAGGACTACCTGAAGCGGCTGCCGGCGCCGCTGCGAGAGATCGAGACGGTGCCCGTCCGGCAGCACATGTTCGGCAACCCGTTCAAGATTGACAAGGTGAGAGGAGAGGCTGGGGTGGCTTGCTGCTGGTTGGTGGGGTGCATTTGAGAACGCTGTGGTTTGAAAGCTGACCACTAGGAAAGGCTTGCAGCTTTTTAATGGTGAAGCTAGAAGCACCGATGTCGTGTAAAGAATCCGTTCAATTGAAATGCAACATCATTTTAGGCTCGGTTTTCACAGCTCTTAATGTGATTTCATGTTGGATGTCGTACGATGTTTTTTTTTATCCCGGTGTCTAGTCTCTGGCTGACTTTTACGCTGGAGCTCCGTGGCTGACCGTATGATGGTGGACCCCCCCCCCCCCCCCCCTGCCGCAGCGTATGATGGTGGACGAAGCAGACATCGACCTGCTGGACAAGTCCGGCGGCGTGCGGCCGGGTAAACGTTCGGGCGACTCCGGCGGTCCGCGCTCCAAGCAGCGGCGGCTGGGCGCGCCGCCGCGCCGGCCCGTCTCGCCTGTTATGGTGATACCCGATAAGCCGGCGCCGGCGTCCCCGCCCATCACCGTGACGCCGCCGATCGGCGAGCTGCCGCCCGCGCCGCCCGGCATGATGTTCATCAACGCCTCGCAGCCGCTGATGGCCACCCCGCCGCCGGCCGAGCCCGTGGTCGTGTCACTGGGTTACGTGCCGCGCGGCGGCCGGCCGCCGGTGACGCCGCCACCGCCCACACCGCCGGTCGCCGCGCCCACGCCCGCGCCGCCGCCGGCAACAGCGGCGCAGCCTCAGCAGCCGCCGGCGGTGACGGTGCCGCCGCCGGCCGCGCCGCCCCCGCCCACGCCGCCGCCGCCGCCGCCGCTGACGCCACCGGTAGTGACGGTGGCGGCGGCGCCGCCCCTGGTGCTCCCGCCGACCCCGCCGCCGCCACAGCCGACCGTGGTCACACTGGAGGAACTCGAGGACGGTAAGACGAGTCTATTTGGGGTGTGGAGCTGCTACCCGAGTCAGACTAACCAGGCTTTGGTGATTGGCTGATTCTAAGGTTGACGTGCTTATGTTACATAAGTCCAAACGTTGTTTGCTTTTAGATGATTTTTTGCCCAGAAACTTCTCGTGTTTATGCAAGAGCATTCGTCGCTTGGAACTTGTACAAACTGTTTGCCGAGACCTGTTAATTTAACCTTTTAGCATACTTTTTGCATAGTCAATTTTCAATGCGTGCAGTCTTGGCTACTCTTGTTTCATTATGTATTTGTGTGGCAGTCCAGGCTCAGATTCGGAACTTGTGAAATCCACTTGGAACCTTAATAACACATATCGCCTTTTATCTTTTCGCCCAGAACTGTTTTGTTCTGTCAGTTTTATTTAGTGAAATTCGTTTCATTCCCTTCTCGCCTCGTCCCCTCTCACTCCGTCTCATGTTGAGCTCTGTGATGTGTCTGCGAGTCCCGGTCTGATCGCGTTTGGCGTCTTTCCGTATCGTCCCTCTGACCGAGCCTCCCCGCTCTCTCAGACACGGAGCTGTCGGACATTCGGACGTCCTCGGAGCCGTCGCAAGTGAGCCTGTCGCCGCCGCCGTCACCGCGGACAAACTCCCACTCCCACTCCCACTCCTCGGCGGCGGGTGGCTGTCGGCCCTCCCCGCCCACCGTGAACGGCGGCCTGCCGCCCGGCCGGCCCGACCGGCTGCTCAACCGCCAGCTGCGCCAGAGCCTCTTCAAGGAGATCCGGCGGCCCGGACGCAGTGAGTATTCTAACCCTGTCTACCTAGTCTGTGAAGGCGCAGCTTCTGTGTTGAAGAGTTATAGTTTGCCACCGTAGGTTGTTAGACTGTTCCATTGACGGCTGTGGCGTGATCGTTAGAATCGTTTTTTTTTTTTATTTAAGAACAACCGGATACGATACTTTTGCTTGCGTTTAAGTATCACAAATGTACTGCATGACGTTCAGTGTTTTTCCTACACCGTTAAGTTTAAATAGCATCCTGTGTGCGTCGTTTGATATATTTGTGTCGTGCGTGTCATGCGTTGATAAAAAAATGGTTCCAGTTTCTATTTTATTTCAGCAAATGTTTTCCCCATTTCTGTGGTTCCGAAGCCAAACATTTATGTTACTTATGGACGTTTTTTCATGCCCCACACTTCATTAAATCAGCAAGCATCCATTGACAATTGATGGTGGCCGGTATTGTTGATCAAGGTGCGGGGGTAGCTAAACTGTTCTCTGAATCACTGATGCTGTGCGTTAAACTTGAAATTAATGGAAATTCGGAATGAAATATCATTTATCACGCGACTTATTCCATTAACTTGAATCCCCATTGATCTGGATCGTTCTACGTCCTATTCATTAGCATCAGCATTAGCATTTACGCCATGAGTCATTGTTGATTTTACCTTGCCAACCGTTGCTCTTTCAACTTCCCACTGGTTCCGGGCTGTCTACAGTCGCCTGTCCCTCGTTACCGTCTCCGTCTCACCCACGTACAGGGCCACCCGTTCTGACCCCCCTTCCGTTTTCAGACTACGACGTGCTGTTCAGCCGTCTGGCGACCGTGCAGGGTGACAGTGCCACGCGGACGGACTTTGTGCGCGAAATAATCGCCGAGTCGCGCCGCCTCAAGCGGAAACACTTGGCCGAGCGGCTGGAGGCGTACCTGGACGGTAGTCGCGAGTGGCCGCTGCGGAACGGACAGCTCAAACAGAACGGGCCGCGGTGAGAGCGGGCGCGCGCGCGCGGGCCAGCGACGGGCGCCGCCCGTCCCTTCTGTGATACACGGGTGCCGAGCGAGGCGCGCGGCGCCGGCGGCCGGGCTGACACCGCGGCGGGCAGCGGCGGGCCGCGCGCCCTCCGCAGGCCGGCCGGGCCGCCCCACCATTTTCCCACCCTTGCCACGGTCGGGGGCAGTTTATGCCACCATATTTGTACAATAACCGGACTATTTTCTTAGCCGTTTTGTTGTATTTCTAGTGTTCTGTTCGTTTGTGTCACAGGTCCGTAGCGTGCACGTGCTCATCGATGACGCCTCTGTGTGTATGTGTGGGTGTGTGCGCGTGCGCCGGTGAAACTGCGTGAGACTGCTAGTGTCCGTGGATGATTTGACAGTTGACCGATTGGCTCCAACATTGTTGATGCAGTGTTTTTATTAAATAAAGTTACGGATGCCAAATGTCGCCAAATAGTGTGTCAGCAGTCGTACTGAAGCATGCGATGTTTGGGGCGGGGCGCACTTGTTTCAGGAACGCAGAACTATACATTCTTGGACGATACCGCGAAAACGAAATATTTCTATCGAGAGTTTTCAAAGGATTTCATGCACGAGGCCTTGGCCGAGTGCATGAAATTCTTTGAAAACTCCAAGGCCCTAAAACATACTCTCCAAGAAAACTCCAAGAAAACTCGAGATAGGAATATTTCGTCGCGGTAGAGCCCTAGATATTATTTCCTGTATGTTTCTTAATATCGTTCGTTATTTGCTTAAAAAAGGCCGAAATATGCATAAATAAAATACAGTAACATTAACTACACGTTAAATACTGAAATACTGGCAGTTCTAATTACTTAACAGTTCAGCAAAGCTTACGAACTTTCTTTAAAACAGAAGCCCTCGGTGAAATCAAGCTATCCAAGAAAACCATCCAAGAAAACGTCTCGCGCAAAGTTTCTTGGATGGCTGGATTGCATTGCAATGCAAGACTGCATCAAACATACAGGAAAAGACCCAGAAGGCGTCATTTGTTCCAGATAAAATAGCGCAAAACTTATTAAGCCCGACAAACCTGAAATCTGTTAAATAGCACGTATTGTACGTATTTTATATATTTTACGTAATATTCGGATAAAAGAGCGCGCGCAGGATGACATTTCCAGGAACTCATTTATCATAAATATATGCACGCAACCAGTAAGCAATAACAATAAAGATGCGGTTCATAAGTCGCATTTTATGTCCGTCATGGAACCCCACGCCCATAGTCCATAAATGACGCTGAAAAGCACATAAAGCCTTTCAACTAGGGTTCACTTCGCTCTTGAATCTCACTTCGTTGTTTAATTGATACTAAACGCCTGACGCTAGGCTTTAGCAGCAGTCTCAACAAACATCCGAATCGACCAGGCCTAAAGGCCGTCACCCATGCATTGGAGCGAAAACAATAGATTAAGATTTGATTTGACACGTATTGCAAAGTGCTTATGAGATTCAGCTGCGTACAGCATGTGGAAATGGGTAACGACGCCACCTGACATACATTTGCGGTCTGTTTCACTGAACGGTCGGGCCAGTACCCCGGTTCAAGACACAACCATGCAATCATCCCAGAAGGCAGAAACACCATATTTCAACCCCACCATTCACACGACCACAACGAGCACCATACCTGTCCTCACCCACCACACCATCTCGGTCTTTGGTCCCGTGAGACTACCCTCCCCACCCCCACCCCCTCACACGGACACTGTATGGGTGACGGCCATGTGCAGCGCCTGCGCCACGTGGCCGGGACTGGTGGGACACAGCCGCACCGGCAGGTCCCACACCATGGTCTCGATGGGCAGCGTGTCGGGCGCCTCCCAGGTGGCGTGGTGCGCCGGGTCGGCCGGGGTGGCCAGAGGCACAGCGCCGCCCGTCGTGGTCACAAACTCAAAGTGCAGACGCCAGCTGAGCTCGACCAGCTCGGAGCGGAACGAGGGCGTCACGTGCAACGGCACCGGCAGCATCACGTGCGTCTGCTCCAGGTTCAGACACACCTGTACAGAGGGGGGGGCGGGGGTTACACAGCGGAACCGGCAACATCACCATCTGCACAGAGGGAGAGGGGGAGGGCGTGAAAAACAGGGGGTCCAGCTGATAACTGATGATGATGATGTAGATTACGTTTCAGAATCCCTGTCCGTTTTAAGGGAAGACGAGTAAACAACTGAAATTAATTTACAGAACCCGCTACCGCATGAAGCGGTTGAGGCGAGCGCTGCGATCAAGGCGGCCTGCAGTTGACTATTATGGCACCTGACATCGCCGAATCACTACACCAAGCACAGGTAGCTACCTCGGTCAAGTAAGCAAAATAGCTTACGGGAAACATCCATCCGCCGTAGCAGCGGTTAATACACACCCATCACATTGCGACATTCGGCCGACGCGACCCGCCACAGCGGACGGCGCACTGAGCGGATACCGTGACAGTTCGGGGGCCGAATACCGGTTCCCGCCGGCGTGTTACGACATTTCCTGTCATCAGCTGACGGGAGCGACCGAGGAGGGAGGAACGCGGTAGCTGTTCAGCTGACGTTTTTTTTTTAGTAAACGTTAACACTGTCTTGTGGATAAAAATATGAATAAGGCATAAACCTTGCAGCATCTCTATGGAGATGAATGCGGAAAAAAATAAAGGTTGTTTATTTTCATTAGGTCACCTAAACAGAGAACGACGGTATCGATGATACCAAATATCTTTATTTGACTTATCCTTTGTTCATATCTATCCAAATGAACCAGTATAGCGCCTTGAGGGGCGACTAACGGAGCGAGCGAGAGGGTGGGCCTTGCACGTGCGAAATTGCAAGGGGTACCTCCAACTGACTTGTGCACGGTACCCTACTAACCGGTCTCTAGCGATGTGCCAAATTTGAGCACAATCGGCCCAGCCGTTCTCGAGATCTGGAAGCGGCACCCTGCACGTGCGCACGTGCAAAATGGGTCCCAACTGACTTGTGCACGGCACCCTACTAACTGGTCCCTAACCGTGTACCAAATTTGAGCGCTATCGGTCCAGCCGTTCTAGAGATCTGGAAACGACCCCTGCACGTGCGCACGTGCAGCAGCACCCCAACTTTGGCACATGGATATGCAGTGCCTAGTGGGTGCCTACCTACATGCCAACTTTCAGCGCAATCGGCCAAGTAGTTACCGAGATATTGCAACAATTACAAAACTGACACCTCTTCGTTTTGCACGTGGCACGTGCATAAGGGGTCACCCACATGCATCGGGAATAGTCCAATACTTGGTAGAAGGAATGAAGCTACCCTACAAAAATTACCGCGTGTAAATCGGTCAAGTGGTTGCTGAGATATAAGCCTCGCAAAAGCGTCCGCACGGCCGGCCGGCCGGCCGGCCGCTCATACTCAGAAATTTCTGTTAATCTAAGGAAAGACTACGCTCGCTTCGCTCGCTCCGTAATAAGGATGTGATCGGCGACTAGTACTTCATGATCCAGTCGTTTATCGCTGATTCGACGGTGTCTTTTCCAACCGCTTCACATCGGCAGTGTGAGTGAACTGGTGAATTTGGACTTTCAAGGATTACGAGATTGTAGAAAATATCTGTCAAACGCTGGTCTGACTCAATGAACTCGAGCGAGGAACTACAATAAGTCTCTAATGCTGGTTACTAATTGGGGAACAAGTCCAACACCCGACAGCCTACCAGAGTCCGACAGTCCATGAACACTGAACAGACCCCTCCGTGACCTGACCCACCTCGTGGCACTTGTTGTAGGCGCGCGTCACGGGCTTCTGCTGCTCCTTCTGCTGGTGCTGCTCGTGGACCGTTTCCACGCTCTCCAGCGTCACCGAGTACTGTACGCAGCGCACGTCCGACTCGCTGAAATCCAGCGTGGCCACCACGTCCTCGCCCAGCTTGAAGGCCGTCTTGAACATGCAGAAGCGCACCACCCGACCGTGCTGCTCGGGAGCGGGGGCGCAGACCGGTTAGACGGCGGAGACAGGAGATAGGTGATGTCAGAAGGTAAGTCAGTAGTTGAGTGCAAAAAGTGAAAACGTGAAAACAACTCCCTACAAAAGGCGAGCACTGGTGAGCAGGATCCCCAGCTCCCTCTGCCGACGACTGGTCAATGGCGTGGGAGCCCCCGGGTGAGACTAAATGCTTACTTCGAATTCTAAGCTGTGTTGCGGCATTGGCGGTTATGTGCGGCGTGTATGCCGCATGATTAGTAAGCGGCGACCACTAAATTAAAGACTTAAACGCTCCAACCTGTTTTCAATGAATAACACTGGATACCAAAAATGCCAATCGCTCTCGTCATAAGATATTTAGATTTCAATAACTAATTTATCTGCATCATCATTTTGAACCAAATTAATGCTTTCAACTTAGTACTCACTCATTCCTCCCTTCGTTGGCTCCATGAAACAGTACTTCGATTGTCTGGAAATCGTATGCCAAGTCCCGCACCTGTATACGACTGGTGCATATAAAGGCCGATTTAAGAATTTCAATAGGCTCTCGCATGCGATTTCCTGGCTACCCAAAAAGTCTGTTTCAGTCATGCTATCAAAACATTGTATGTCAGCCCTCTCACCAGCTTGTAGTGCCCCTGACCGTCATTAAAAGCCTAGTTTCCCTCCATCATCTCTACTAGATTTAGGTGATGCTCCGACAAATTCACAAACAAGACCGAACTTGTTCGGAGTTCGGACTGTGAGTTAACCCTCGCCCTTTAGGGGGGGGGGGGGGTCGAACGGACTCCCCTCGGTTTTTCGCAAATAACTCGCGTAAAAAGCGGCCGATCACGACGTAACTTTTAGTACCCTCGCGTTTATCAATTTTACACCTACCCTGAAAATTTCATGACCCTGACGCAAATAACCTTTGACCTGTGACCTACTTTTTGAGACCATGTTTGGCCGGAACCGCGATTCAGCGTATGTCGGCTCGCATTAGCAGCGCGTTTGCAGTCTTTTCGTGATTTCAAGCGTTCAAACATGTGATATGATGTTGCCCCCATGCATTAGGGTGGGTGTCAAGGTCACCTGAAGGTCAGGTCAGGTCATTGACCTTTGGTGACCTCGGTTCACTTTTCGAGTTTGACATGTTTCTAGGCCAGTTTTTCGAGCTGAATTCGAATTAAGCAGCCACATGAACGTTTACAAAGTAGTTTTGGTGCCTTCGTAACATGTTACGAGGCTGTCAGAGGCGGTTGACACCTACTACAAATACCCGGCAGGACCTCTACTGGTTGACCTGACCTGACCTAACCCGACCTGGCCTAAATGAATGAAGACATCATCTGTGATCAAAACTAGCATGATATTCGTGATCAGCACCCCGAAAAACCCCATAGCAGCCACACTACGACGTTCTAACAGGTCCCAATTTTCCCGCCTTTTGGGTCATTGACCTGACCTGGAAGGTCAACCGATGACCTAGGAC